CGGAGCGTGTGTCGAGTAATGGAGGGGGCGTTTCCGCGAAGCGCGTATCGAGGCTTGCTTCATTTATGGGAGGAGCTGAAAATGATGACGTCCGAAGCCTCGCTGCCCGGCTGTACCACGTGACTGGTTCATGAAGTGGTTCGAACTTTGCCGCGAGATATGACAGCGATATAAACCCCTCAGACTTCATTCAAAAATGTGGGTGTTTGATGGAGAGTTGCGGTTAGAGAGAGTTTGGAGACAGTTTGGAGGTTTATGAGAGTGAGGAGAGAAAGTCAGGAGAGAATGGAGCCAGCTAAGAAGAGGAGGATGTCCTCCCCTGTGTGGGAACATTTTGATCTTATTCCTCCCAACAAGGTATGTAAATTTCTACAGAAGATGTATTGTCATGATACTGATGCTGCAATACAATTTATGTTGAGCTGTCTTGACTTTTGTACAAGGTGAAGTGTTTGCTATGTGCCAGGGAGCTGGGATATAACAACAACACCTCATCCATGCTTAGGCACTACAGAGCTTTGCATGAGAATAAGGGGAACACCGATTGTGGAGCAAGACCAGGTGAGCCATCAAATGCAATGATAATATAGCATGCAGTAATGTTACTAAATGATATAACAATATTATACAACTGTAATAAGTTACGTGTGTGATATTTATATTTGTGCTTTGTCTTTATTGTCTTTCCTCAGGAGAACAATCTCAAATAGATGAAGACCTGGTTAGCATGGTGATTGAGGACTCCCAGCCATTTAGCATTGTGGAGGACAAAGGATTCAAAAGATTTGTTAAATCATTAAATCCCAGCTATGTTCTCCCCACTAAAAAGGTCATAAAAGCAGTGAAAATTTAGTTTTTACAGAATGAAATGTGAACAGGCAGGACTGAGGCTCAAAGCCTCAGTGTGTAGCTGTCCATACCTCAACGTTACAAAAGCACAACCACTGTCCACACCCCAACCACACCTCACCTCACAGTAAATGATCATTTCCATTTCAAGCATTTCCAAATAATCATTTTCCATACTGCCAGATAAATATACACAGTATACTGCCATCACTACAATATACATGTTTTACACACTCCTTTTGTTGTTGACATTTACAGGCTGTGTGCAAAAGGCCACACTCTTCAAATTCATGCCAGCTATTATTTTTACGTCCAGTAGGTGTCCTGCTAGAGCAAATGAAGCTTCATGAAGCTTCGCGTTGGGGTGAACCAATTGGATGAAAAGCTTCAGTGCTTCATGGGGCTTCATCTGCCCATCACTAGCTGTCAGAGCGAGCTCATGGCGTGGTGGTGCTGTACGGTTACACGGCGTTCATAACTCTGGGTTTTTCTTTCCCCAGCATGTGACAGCCTGACAGGCCCACAGTTAAGGATCCAGACACTCATCTGCGCCTGGTTGGAGCTGACCCCACGCCTATAAAACAGGTGGAGGTGGTGTGAGGCGGACTGAGCAGGTGTGCTCAGGTAAGTCGGTAGAGAGCTATTTTAAATCCCTGCTGCCTGAGAGCCCACGGGGCGTGTCCTCGCCCACGGGGCGTGTCCTCGCCCACGCTTTAATGAAGCCCGGGTTTATTTTCACAAACAGAGACAACATGGTGGTGACGTAGTTTGTCCTGTGCACTCATTGGCCGCCCGCGGCTCGCGCTCCAGGTCAGGGAAAGGAGACGGGCTCATCAAACAGACCGACGTCAGGGGCCACGTCCGGAGTTGATCGCGACAGTTTACCACGTGTGTACGCTGCAAATCGATCAGCTGATATTTGATCACGTGGCTGAGCTGTTGGCGACCTTCCAGAGAGCCCAGACCGCGCAGGACGCACGAGACCTTTTGTTCGGTGCGCGCGCGTCTGTGCGCAGACTTAACGTCCCGCAGAGCTGTGATCAGGATCCTCCCTCAGAGGGACACTCACCTGTCCTGTGCAGCTTGATTTGGGGTTTCCAGGTGATATCCAGCAGTCTGCGCTGACGGTCGATCTCTTCCTCGTACTGGACGATCGTTTTTTCAAACTCCAAGAATATTTGTTCAGCAGCAGCAGTTAGTCGCTCGTTGATGAACTCTCTCAGATACTGAACTGAAGGCATCGTTGCTGCCGCAGCTCACACACTCAGCTCACACAACAACACAAAGCCTCCAAAAGTTCACGCTGGAACAACCATACTGCCGCCTTTTCATTGTTTACTTCCACCGGATGTCCCGCTCTGAAGTTCCGGCAGGAGGAGGATGTTCAAATACTTTGTTCCGCTTGGAATAAACGTCCTTCTTTCTTCCTAAAACCTATTTAAATGTACCAAACTGAGCCATAAATACATAAACAGCGTGTTACAAATAATAAAGGAGAGAAAATGGAAAGAAAAGGCCTCGTTCAGGTTTTTATCCATAATGAATCATATCCATTCTACTACTGATCATTCATATACTCAACACCAAAGAGTCTGACGTGAATGAATACTAACACACGGCTTTATTTTATTGTTTGATGTGGGTCTAAAATAAATGAGGAATTAAGTGTGTTTGTGGCGTGCTCAGTCTTCATTAGCGGAAATCATTTGTAAAAAGTTCAAAACATAACGTCTAGATTTGAAAATGCAAACGCACACCTCTTTGTGCCAAATATAATGAGATGTGATGATGATTAAAGTATGTCCTGTTATGGAAATGTGAAATAAATCCACACAGACACAAACAGGTTTGAGTTAGCTTCACTCAGGGCACAAAGAGCAGCACAGAGCGTGGCAACAAGCTGACAGTCGTGTGTAGAGATGGGCCCAGCACAGCGTCACAGTGCACTCACAATATCTTCTACTGAAGGAGGCAGAGCGCGATGCTGTGGGGCCGTCGTTCAGCAGCTCAGGCTGACACAGAGAAGAGCAGCATCTTCACATATGCAACACATTCTAAGAGTTTTTATGTGTTTTGACTCGGGCACTCCTGAGGCTCTTCTATGACTGCGGGGGCATCGGCCATCTCCTGCGCTCGGGTCTGGGGACAGGACCAGACCGAAGACCGGTGAGGAGGGCAGGCCCTGTGCTGATGCAGTGGTGGAGGCGGTGAGTGAGGAGAATGGCTTCTCAGCTCTGATGGACCACACTTCCTGCCTCACATGCGATGTAGTGACATCAGCGGGCAGCTCCTTGCTGCGTCCATAGTCCACTCTGTACCACACTGTGAAATAACACTGCACCTCCTGTAAACGATGTAAGGCACGTGATCTGCTGTCTGCCTTTAAAACTCTGCGCACGCAGGTCCTCAGTCATGGAGTTGTGGTAGTCCTGTGGTCTGCTTAGCTTCTCTACAATCACAGCTTCTGTTAACATTCGGCCTGCAGCTGACCTACGACCTCCCTGTGCATAAATGTTACCTTGTTTATATAAGTCTGCTTCAGCTGTGTGCAAATAAAACTCATATAACTCATCTATAGATCATAAGTACTTTGTAACCAATAATTACTGCAAATTCTCAGAAACACGCGATCATATGAATATACGCCCACAAAGGATTTGTGGTCTGTCTGCAGTTTAAGGAGACGCTGCTCTGATCCAACATCTTCAGCATGGAGGTATAAAAGTATCACGAGTGGAATAATGTAACAAACAGACCAACACGTGACCCGAAGGCTTTACCAGGGTTTGTGTGCCCAGTGTCCCCTAGAGGGCGCTAAAACACAAGCATAAATCTCCACAAACATGAAATAAGTAGCGCCACCAAACAATAAGATACAGACGCTTTAATAAACCAGTGAGGTGCTCAAACAATATCAGACTACCTGCCATAAAAAGGAGAAACTCGGATCCTGTAAGATTCTGTCAAAGCGTGTTGTAATTCTCTTAAATCAAGGAAACACGTGACTTCATGTTTTTACACCGATAGTTGCGCCAGCAGCTCAGTCACATCACTTAACCGCTAAAACCTTTTTTCCAGGAATGCAAGTAAGTAACTTTAATCAAATAATAATCGGATTTACTTTTTTCAGCTTTTTTGTAAAACTGTGAATTTTACGCTCATGTGTAACAACAATAAAACATCAAAGTGCACAGTGGCAGACGGAGCATGACAGGAATGCTGTGTCATAAACACGGACTGGATGCTGGTCTAGTACATTTGTGGAGCCAGTAGCGGTTCTTGATACGGGCGACACGGGCGGCAGCCCGGGGCGGGATCACGGGCGTCGGCAAAAAAAAATGCTGCCCATGCTCATGCTGCCCGACATCAGCCAGCGCATATTGGGAATGTCACAGGCACCAATCGGTTTTCTATCGCCCATTTGCTGGGAGTAAGGGCGCCCCCCCCCCCCCCCCGTTTGCGAGGTACGCCTGCTGCGTAGGGAGGAGAGGGCGGGGCGGCGGGGGAGTCTCTGGCTGGAGCAGCATCTAATAACCAACTCGCAAAATAAAACAAAACAACAAACACGAAAACACCAGACATCATGATACAGACTTATAATCTGCACCGATGTTTTTTCTATAGGGAAAAGTGAGCGCGAGAGCCCTCGGTGCGCCTGCGCGCTGCTGAAGTCAAAGTAAACTTTATTGTCATCTCCGCTACAGACAGTCCAGCATATAGAGACGAGACGACGAGGCTGCAGTTACAGCGGTGCAAGTAAACAAACAATATATATAAGAAAATAAATATACACTTTAGGAGTCGGGGTAAAGGATCAATAACAATTTAAAATTTACAGTTTGATGATTTAAAGTCTCCACACAACCCGTCGAAAGGGGAGGGGCCTGCTGCTTCCAAATAGAGCGTATTTCATTCATAATGATGTAAATCCAAGCTCATTATGGATTCATGATCTGAATCCTGGGTTGTGACAAAGTGAATCTGTGAACTAAGGTGTAGGTGTGTTAGGTTATGTTGTGGTGATCCTCGAGTTGAGGGATGGGTGTTCAAAATTAAAACCAAGATGGACAAGAAAAGTTCAAAATCATCAGGTGCTCAGTTTAGAAAAAGGAGAAAAGAAGTTGGTTTTAATCACTGAAAGAAAAATAATTAACAAATCAAAATAAAACAAAAGCATTTTGATCAGCCCTATTTCTACTCGATTAACAATAGATAACCATTAGGTGTCACATAAGATAAAGTATCCTTAGTTTTCAGAATTATTAGAGCTCTTTTTTCCTTTTAATTTACTTTGTCCAAACGATTTCTAAATGGCTTGACAGTACGTACAGAAACAGTTCCCGGAGTGGCTTGAAACTTGGAAAAATGGCTTCTTTGGAATGTTAGCTGACTTCTGAAGTGACGGACAGAGACAGAAGAAATGAAGTTCAAGCAGAAAGAAATCCTACAGCAGCTGAACCAACTTGGCAGATCCCGAACAAACCCAGAGTCCGACGTGGAGGGGCTCTGTGAAGGTGGTCTCTACCTTTGCAAGGAGAGTCATGGAGCCGGAGACGCTGTGGAAGGACAGGATACCTGCGCTCTGATCCACGTACACCCCGATCTTGCTGGACTGAGGAACCTGTAGGGACATGGTGGTGCTGTCATGTCTGAACTCGTTACTGTGACACCACAACGCCCACGACTTGTCGTTGAATCCGAATCCACTCTCACTTCCTGTTCTGCTGATGCTCTTGTAGGCGACCGCTATAGCAACAAACTTGCTCCACTTCACCTCCCAGTAACACCGTCCACTCAGAGCTTCTTTGCCGAGGACCTGAAGGCTGTCGAACCTCTCTGGGTGATCAGGGTACGACTGCTCCTTCTTCATGTACGTAACCTTCCTGTTCCCCTCAGACAGTGACAGCCATTTGCTCACTGTATTTGGATCCAGCGTGATTGGACACATATACTGTAAGAATTCGTTTCTGGTCTTGGGCTCTGTCGGCGGTGCAAAAGGTAGCGGCGGCGTCACCAAAGCTGGGTGTAGTGGGGCCAAAGCCGTGGGCTCTGCTGGAGGCACCACATGTTTCAATGAATTTTTGCGTGCTGCTGTTGCCAGAAAAGCTGTTAGATGTGGTGCTGGTGGAAAACGGGGTTGTTTCAAGAAACTCTTGGGCTCTGCTGGTGGAACCACACGTGGTTGTTGGAAGGCTGCTGATTTGACTTCTTCTTCTTTTGTTATGAAGGATGTTGGTGCTGGGACTATATGCGGTTGCTTCCCTGAACCCTCGAGCTCTGCTGGTCTCAGCGGCGCCTCTCCTTGGGTCCAGCCCTGACTCAGAAGGTCTTGGAGTTTGTCTTTGAGCTGCGATACCGCCGCCGTCACCTCCTCAAAGCTCAGAGGAGGGACGTTGACGCCGGTGTGTGTAGATTTGCCGAGTGCTGACAGCGAGTAGAAAGTGAGTAGAAAGCGGTGGTGGTCCTCGGTGTATGAAAGCTGCTTCAGCTCCGAGTCTTTCTTCTTTAACTTGGCGATCTCGTTCTGTAGCTTCTCCTCGAGCTCTTTGACCCGACGCGTTTCTGTTTCCTGCTGGATTCTGATCTGCTGCTGCACTTCGGAGCTTCGTCTCGCGATGAGTTGGGCCAGCTGGCTGAACACCATCTGGCTATTCCTTGCTGCTTCATCGGCAGAAATGTTGATGACCCCCACCTGCTTCTGAAGCACTGTCAGATCTTGCTCCAAGTCTTGGATTCTCTGCTGGATGTTCTGCTGACATGGATCGAGCTCATTCTGCCTCTCGGCCCGCTCTGCTGCCAGTGACACGACGTCGTGGCCTTTGTGTTCGCTGATAGAGCAGAGGTAGCAGATACACTGCTTGTCACTGCGGCAGAAAACTTCCTTCACTTTGTTGTGGAGAGAGCAGATTTTTTCTTGGAGGTTTGCTGAGGCTTCAACCAGTTTGTGGCTCTGAAAGGCCTGAGAATCGTAGTGAGGCTGGAGATGATCGTCGCAGTAGGAGGCCAGACACTGTAGACAGGACTTGGTGGCTCTCTGCTTCCTCCCAGTGCAGAAATCACAGGGCACATCTCCAGGTCCAGCATAGTTGTGATGAACAGGAGGAGCAGCTTGGAGTTCAGTTTTCTTCAGCTCCTCCACCAACTCTGCTAACATGGTGTTTTTGCCCAGCACTGGCCTCGGTATGAAGGTTTTCCTGCACTGGGGACAAGAGTGAACCCCCCTTTGATCCTCTCCATCCCAATGGTTGTTAATGCAGATCATGCAGTAGCTGTGCCCGCAGGGAAGAGTCACCGGATCCTTCAGCAGATCCAGACAGATCGAGCAGCACAACTTTTCTCTGTCCAGTTGAGGCATTTTAATTCTGAGAGACAGCCAAGAGTTTCTCTTCTTCTCAGCAGATTAAAGGCGAGTTCTGATCCGAACCCAAACTTGCGCCAGTCCGTCGCACGTCTGCAAGACACGACAGCAGCAGGAAATATGCGGACAGAAACCAGCTGCTGTGTTTAAGAGCAGGCAGCAGAAAGAAGCTATCAGGTTTAACTTCATTCCAGTCCAAATATGATGCCAACATGCATCACAAGACCACCCCCCTCCTCTTCCAGACCCAGTGAGCTTTACTCATATTTGCACATTTGTGCGTGTGCAGTGCAGAGCTGCTGTTAGAAGAACAGAAATCTGATCACTGTAGAGGAGCTGAAAATGAAGCATTCAGTCGATAATAATAATAATAATAATGATAATAATAAATGATCAGCGTGTAACGCACGAGCCTGGAACAGCTGTGCTGAGAAATCTGACACACAGAACAAGACGTGATTTCTACTTTAATAATGAGTGAATGTGTGCGGCCTGGCTCCGCACCGCTTCCTTCTCCTCAACTTGCCATGACAAGAATTTCATGACACTTGCTGAAAAATGCGAATGCTCGGCTGGGAAACCAGCAGGTCTGCAAACAGATCCAACAGTTTCTTTTAACTCTCCTGAATCTGATTTGCAGATAACAACACACAATGGTCGCCTCTCGTCTCTCTTATGTACAGTATTGCTACTATTGCACAACTGACATACAATTCTATTCAATTCTATTGTTTTTCTTAATTTTTGCTGCTCTTATCTTTGTATTGTCCACTTTGTTTCATGTTCAAGCAAATTTCCCTGATACAGGTTTGTCTTATCTTATGTCAGGTGTTTACATGCTTACAGTGTAGGAACAGGTTGATGAAAGGGGAAGATAAACCTCCTGTACTCACGAGTATGTGTTTAGTGCAGAGGACAGTATCGTCAGGTGTGCAGGCTGGATCACAGAGCACCCAACCTCTCCTCGCCTCCTCGTAACTCACGAGAACTGTAAATGTGAAATTACAGAACATGCACATGTTGTGTGCCGAGTCACGGAGAGCAGTCTTTGTTTTATTTGAGGATTACCTTCAGACAGGCAGAAGAAAAAGTGCAGTTTGGTGCACACAGAAAGCTGAGAAGCTGCAGAGGAGGAGGAGTTTATCAGGTTCATCTTCATTCCATGAAGTCACGGAGCGAGAAACTGCGACTGACAGCCTGATCTGGGAGTACAAACTCCTCTAAACAGAAAACCAGAAGACCAACGGAGGAAAGCTTTGACATCATTCAGACTCTTTGCTGTGCTTTCCTTGTTTTCCTTCATTGACACCTGCACAGAGGCTGACCGGAGACCAGCCACAGCAAACCCACCTGAATGTACAGAATTCAGGAAGCACAGAACGGTCACAGGCCTCTGGCCTCATACGGGTCGAGCACTCCATGTTGACCTTTAACGGCAGATTCATGTTGGGGAGTTCAGGTTTGATGATACTTTCTTGTAACTTTAATCCAAACAGTGAACTCACGTAGGAGAGCGACCCCCGGAGTCGTCATTCGCAGAGCGCCTGCAGCCTCGAGTCAGCACGGTGGCACTTATGCTTAACTGATCTGCAGCCTCCTCTGCCAGCGCGATGCAAACTGATGGAAATGCTCAATAAACACATGTGCTGGCTTGAAGGCAGAGTCAGTGAATAAATCCTGAGCTGCAGCTTCGTCCTCGGCCTCCTGCTAGGACTAATTTCTGAGCGTTCACCATGGCAACTGGCTCATACAGAGCAGAGCATCTATTTTAACCCGGCGGAGCCAAGAAATGGCCGACTTCAGCGTTTCTGTCATAGATGAAGCTGCTTCTTTGATCTGGATCTTGAAATCCAGCTCTCAGCTGTGGCTAGCGGCTCTGCGCCTGTGAACCGTGGGTCAGAGGTCACGAGGCTGGACAGACGGGGGTGTCTGTGGCTCCGTCTGCTGTGGCGAGACACAGGAGCAGCTGAGAGGAACTTTGAAACAGACAGCACTGTTCATCTGTGTGTGATTCGGGGCGATTTAGATTCTGTTGTGCATTTAAAAAGCTGCCTGACAACATTCAGTGACTGTGTTCGTCGTGCGAACAGATCCGGACGCATTCAGCAGCCCGCTATGACCCACAGCTAGTCCTAAAGTCATCTCAACCTAAGCTTCACTTCATCTCCAACAAGATGAGTGTGACCAAACCAAATCACTGCGATTACAGCAACATAAATGTTAATCACATGTACAGCTGCTTCCTGGAGCAGAAGCAGGGATCGTGCACGCGGATCCTTCACTGCTTACTCTTGCTCAAATATGTGGTCTGTCTGAGCGGACACGAGGGGATCAGGTTTAACATCATTCCAGGACGAGCAGGACAGTTTAACAAAACAGCAAACATCATCGCTGGAAATGTTCTGTCAAAACAACAAAAGCAGGCCAGCACGTTCCCATCAAGGCCGAGGCCGCGGACGCCGCTCTGACCTGCTGTCAGCTTTGGTCTCAGGGCTGCAGAGAGCCAGCTTTCTTTGGGTTAGCTGCTTTAACCAAACCCCAAAGCCTGTTAACATAATACAAGTCTTTGTTGTCATTGCACAGTCACACCAAGCACAACAATGCAACAACATCAAACTGTCCCATGTCGGCACTACGCACAACTAAACACAACACTGTAACTTGAAGTGCCAGAAAGGTAAGCGCAAAAAAGGATGACTTGATAAACAAATAAAAGAATGAGTGCATGTTTATTATTATTGTTATTGCCCCCAAAAAGTCCAGGGGGGTAGCCAATCAGGTCAGCTGTGAGCATTGATCAGGGCTGTTGTAAAAGCTGTCGTGGAGTCTGTTCGTTCACAGATAATCAGTTTTACATAAGAAGAACCACAATTATTGTTCTGTTAGCCTAACCCAGAGCTTCAGAGCCATTGGGGGGGGGGAGAACCCTTGGAGGACACTGCTAGCATAATGGACAGGTTTGTGATGAGGCGCCCACGCAAACGCAAAGCAGGAGATGAAGCATCGCTGAATATGTTTCTAAACCAACTTCATTCAAAGACTAGAAAATATGGTGAAGCAAATCTTCCCTTTGGCTTCACCTGCACAGGTGCGGAGGTAGGTCTCCCTGCAGGATTAGTTTCCCTGCGTCGGGAGCAGCGCTGGGCTGTTTAAATCACAGACAAACAGGATCCCACATTCTTGATCTTTAGTTCACAAACACTTGTTGTAATGACTAACTGCTCCTGACATGTTGGAGATGTTTGCTCTTTATACAGTAAAGTTGCAGCAGGATACAAATAACATCAGGCTGATCCTGCCACGATTTGTTCCTCCTGTCACAGACAAACAGGATCCCACAGCTGTTTATGTTTTTGAACACATTTTGCATTTTTTGAAAAATGTATTGAGATCAGTGTTGAATATTATTACACAGGAAAAAACAACTACATGTAAAATAATGACACCGTGAGCCTCTGCCTTTGTAAATGGAGGGACAGTAACTGCGTGTAAAACCTGCAGACAGTCAGATTAACAGTATTTCGTCTCTATCATTCTGCAGTTCATCTCATGTAAACAATAACGTGGCCACAGCGTGACGTGGAAAAGGCACATACCTTTGACGCTGCGTGACGAACTCTGTATTCCTCGTCCACACGGAAACGCAAAAAAGGAGTTTTAAAAATCTGTTTTCTGTGATTCGAAACGTCGTTTACGTGGACGAAACAGCTGCGTGTTCAAAAATACCCGTGTAGGTGCGGACGCAGCGTAAAAGAGTTTATTTTATTACTGCCTGCAGATTACTTGTGTTTGCTTAATTGTTTACTAAATGTTGGAGGTGAGAAATAAACCACAATGGAGCAAAACATGGGCGTGTGGTTGGAGGGTGTGTTTGTGCCTGTGCACGCGGGGGGGCGGGGGCGAACATTTTTGTTGTAAAACAAAGGGGGGCCAGTAAAAACAGTTTGGGAACCACTGCGTCATTAGTGTTCGATGGTGTGCGTCTCCTGGCACTGGGCGTAACTGCTAAATGAATTTCCTGAGTGGAGCTGTAATCATCACCCTGATTAAATCTGTCTGCTCCGTTTAGACCTTCATGGCCAAAGAAAGACGCGAGTTTAGAGAGAAGCTTGTCGTGCTCGGCGTCTGTGCTGCTCAGGTTACATAACACCACGCGACACAGCACGTTACATTTTATTTTAATAATAAAAGACCAAAATCACCTGAAATGCATCAAAATACACATGTACGGGTATTACTGTGGAGTATCAGGCCCTCTGTACACTGGCACACAGTGTCTCGTCCACAGGCTGCAGTACAGGGACGGCTCACCCCCAAATCAACACATTTTAGAGTAATTAGTGCAAAGAAAATAGTTCCTGAATGAAACGCTTGTTAAAAGCTCGGTGTCGGTGCATCTCCTCACATCCCCGTGAGGGAAGAGCAGTCGGACCTACAACACACCTGATTTTGAGGTGAACTGCTCCTTTAACGGCGCCCTGCAGGTCCTCGCACAGTTCATCCACAAGTGGGACAGTTTCACATTAAATCTGTCAGCTGGTTCACTGTGCACTCACACCACAGATCTCAAACATCGTTTTCCACCTGCAGTCTGACGTGCTCAGCGTGCTGACACTAGGTGGCGCTACAGGAACAGCCTCACTGTCCAGGAAGTCCGGTGCAGGGTTATCATCAGCTGTTTTTACACGCTCCTCAGAGGGCCACGCCACCGCTCTGACTAAGAGCGTGCCGTTAACGGCTGACCTCGTTACATGCAGGTGGCACTGACTCGCTGCACCCTGTGGGACAAACACAGGAGGGTCCGACTCCAGGCCTCGAGGGCCGGTGTCCTGCAGATCTCACCCTGGGTCAGCACACCTGAATCACATGATTAGTTCATCACCAGGCCTCTGGAGACCTTCAAGACATGTAAGGAGGTCATCATTTAGCCTGCAGGACGCCGGCCCTCGAGGCCTGGAGTCGGACCCTCCTGATCTGACAAGTTTCCTTCTCAGTCTGCTGACAGCTTTAGGCTACGTCCACACGTATTTTTGAAAACTGAGATTTTCCGTTCTCGTTTAAAAAAATAAAATAAAATAAAATAAAAAAAACCCGTCCACAGACGCAAAAATGAAGCAAAACGCTGCTATGAACATGCCAAAGCAACAGGTGGCGATATATTCCTAACCGTGTTGGCCAATCAGAGGCCTAGAAGCCTGGGTGGGAAAGAGTAAACAAAGACGGGGCATAGAAGCAGAACAGAGTGCTGTTTGTGGAGGCACAGCAACTGTGTAAGTATGTAAACACTGCAGAGAGTAAAATTAACAGCATTTTGTCCACGTCCGCCACTGTAGAAGTTCTCAATCTAACGGTGTTCACAGCCGACTCTGAAGTACGCTGTGGACGCTTGTGTTTACGCAAAGCTAAGCTAACCGCGGCCGGACTTCCTGCACAGTGTGGACTGTTCCTTTAACTTTGAGAGCTGGAGTGTTAATATGAAAGCATGCAAATGCAACACTGTTTACCTGAAGCTCCTGGCTCATACAGTATTTACACCCCAGTGCTACATAAAGGTACATACTGGCAAACAGAACCGAGGCACAGAAAACAAGGACAATAACCACGGTGCAAAAATACGTACTAATTACTTTCGGTCTTCTTTTAAAACTGACGAAGCTTTAAGGCAAAAAATCCGACAGGCTGGAAGCTTCAACCTGTCCAGCGTCTCCACAGCCGTTCATGTGCAGCACGTCTGGTTCTTTCTGGTCTCTCGCTGTCCAGGCTGTGCACAGAAGTGCACGCCGCGAGGTCGGCGCTCACAGGGAACCAGGACGACTGAAAATGAAGCAGAAATTAGAAAAATCTGAGCAGAACGTGATCGAGAATTCTACGAACACCAGGTTGGATATGCCCGTGCAGAGCAGCCTCACCTGCTGGGGGGTCCCCGTTAGACAGGCCGCAGCCTGTAGCGGAAGCGGACATCTTCAGCTGGTAGCATGACTCCCAGGCCGGCTCTGCTGAGGTCCAAGGTGGCTTTGCTCTGGCCCTCCTCCAACTCCAGGTCCAAGTAAAGCAGGATCACGGACAGGAACTGTTTGATCTCATTGATTGCGAAGAAACGTCCGGGACACTTGCTGGCACCTGAGCCGAAAGGCATGAGGTAATGCTTGAGCTTCTGGCCACGCTTGTAGAAGTTGGTCTTCTTCTGGCCGTTCTGCACGTAGCGGTCGAACCGGAACGTCTGACGGCACAGAGAGAAGAACGACAGCGTGATGAACAACAGTCAAACGTGGCATCCCTTCACTGCAAATGACTGTTACAGCTTCGGCTATAAGCCCTGAGAGGAAGAAACCACCGACTTAATAAACCTGGGCTCAGATGGAGCCCTGCCACAGAATGATGACCTTTCACCCCGTCACTCCTGGGACAGGCTGAGGTGCTGATAAGCTGGAAAGCGGAAGAAAAATGGATGGAAGATGGAGTTTGACTAAAATGCCAACAGATGGCACTATTGTTCCCTGTGCTGCTTTAATAACCCATCATTTCCCCCAACAGCAGATAATCAGTCTGTGTGGATTTCAAAGGTTTCCAGACTTTCCTCTTAATTTGGAGTTGATCACATGACTGGATGAAAACACCTTAAAGTTACACAAAAACCAGAACTGTGATTCTGCAGGGATTCAAGGCTTCAGGGGTAACAGCCCCTCTGAATACAAACGCAAAGAAAGACATGCCACGCTGTCATTTGGATTTTTTAAAGTCTCACCTTAAGGCAGGTATGTAATCAGTTCAAAACAACAAATGCATGTATTAAGGTGCACTGAGTCCTTTTAAGTTGAAAAGTGGTCCAGCGTACCTGTGGGTCCTCGTAGATCTCGGGGTCCAGGTGCATAGCCTGAGGGTACAGGGCAATGATGTCTCCCTTTCTGACGGCCGCCGAGCGCTCGGCATCCAGACGCAGACTGAAGTCCTCCTGAGCCATCCGGATGTTCATGGAGGCCGAGCACAGGCGGAGGCTCTCCTCGATGGCGCTCTCTGTGGAGACAGTCGGGTCAATGATCTTCAGGTTCACATCTCTAAGTGTACGAATGCAGAATCTCTGTGTGCACGTACCCATGTAGAGAAGTTTCTCCAGGTGCGCTGGGGTCAGCATCACATCCTTATCTCTGCTGAATTCCACCCCGCTGAGTCTCAGGACGTCCTCGAGCTCCCGACGGACGAACTGCAGCACCTCAGGGTGACTCACCAGGTAATACGTGACCCAGAAAATAGCAGGAACCGTGTTCCCCAGAGACGCCCACAGGATGGCAAAGTGATGAGCTGAAAGTCAGCAGGATGCAGAATGTCATCCACAAAAAGCTTCCACGCAGCATTTACACTCAGGTCACAAAAACAATTATTGTCTATATTGTGGGCTGTTGAGCTGCCAGTGGCACTGGTACACTGCACAGGGAGGGAAGAAAGGCCTAAATCCATCAGCAGCTGCAAACACATAAAGCAGGCCGACATTACGCTTCTGCAACAGCCTCCACAAAACCCCCGTCAAGTATTTGGGACTGTGCTTAAAAGCCGAGTCAGTTCAATTTAGATGAACTCTACCATTAAATAAACATCATCATATAGAGCCAAACTTGGTAGAAGCTTGATGATGGAAACCAAAAGCATTTGGTCAAGGTGGGATTTGCTGAGGGACATTTATTAGAAGCGTTCAAAGAAGTGATTCAAAACTTGAAATGACCAAGACAAGTTCGCGCCCACGATGGGTGGATGTTAACCTCCGACCACAGCTGCACATGAGCCACTCGAGGTCTGGGCTGTAGGGCAGCAGAAACATGTTTGCACAGCAGCTAATTATCTACCTGCTTTGTCGAAATCCCTCAGCGTGTCATACTGCTCAAACATCTCGAATCGTGTCCTGATGAACTCTGAAGAATGTGACCAGCAAGACATCTGGTGCGGCAGGAAGTAGTTGATGAGCCTCTCGCGGATCGCCCTAGTCCGTCCCAGCAGCCAGATGGGTATCTGAGCGACGAGGAGCGGAAACATCTTGTCAAACTTGATGAAGTCCGTCTCCAGGACGCTCATCCCGCTGTGGCGGCTGGCGGATGGCGGCTTGCCGTACATGGTGAGAAAGGTCGCCTCGAACATGATCGAGTTGCAGAGCTTGTACATGTAGGCGGTCTTCCAGCTGCTCTCCTGGTCCAGGTAGTCCTGACGAAATACCAGCATCAGGTTACCCATCATGCTCTCTGTCAGGGGCGTGAGGTTATCCCCTTGGAGGAGAATGAAGCCGCGTGTGATCTGCTCCTTCAGGCCGGGGAACTTGCTAGTAACAGGTGGATAGCCAAAGGCAAATGATGCCACCCTGTTGGAGAACTCGTGAAAGTCCAGCTGCCGGCCTTGTTTGATGATGTTGGGATACAGTAAAGGATCCATGATGAAGGTCATGTATTTACCTGTATTTATAAAAGATGCAAACCGTATCAGGTGTTTAATCTCAGACTGGAGCTTTTTAAGATAAAAGGTCAGCAAGTCTATAAAAAGTTGGGACAGAGCAAAAAAAAAAAAAAAACAGCTGGAAAGATCAGTGGTCCTGAAGAGAAACAGCTGGAGGAGCCGACTGATCACTTTGAGCATGTGCGTACATATATACACAAGATGGTATTCTCCTTCCTGTATATACAAGCGCGTATATACAGGAAGGAGAATACTATCTTCTAGCTCAAAGAGCAGTGGGAAGAAGTAACGTAGCTCAGCTCAGGCATGCAGCTTCTTCCTGAGTGTACGTAACATGTTCTATTATCATGCTGCCTCAGCCCATCACTGCATTTAAACCACGTCTTTATACACGATTTAACCCAAACACAGACTCACAAAAACCATTCCCAGACGTTCTCACCACGAGCACGTTAAAATCAACCATCTCTGTGGTCCAAAGGATCTTAAATATCAACTGGTAATAGATTACTTTGTGCTCTAAACATTATCTAACTCTAACAGCTCGAACACCAACTAACAAAGCCCTGAAGTTTTAATTATTTTGACTGTAAAAATAAGACATTTGTATGATGAAAATACCCATCTGTGTGTTATAAGAAGTGTCCTGAAAAGATAATTTTGTGCATTTTTAGCATTATTTCCTCACAGCTCGACACTAAAACGTCTGCAGAGACAGTTATAATCTTTAATTTGGTCATGACTAGGTGTCTGATATTATCAATCCTAAAAATTTATTCTGCTTTACCATTTCAGCTTTTTCATTTTCTACTTGTGTCTGCGTCCCATCATTCACCTTAATTCTGTCTTATTCATCACCTACATTATTGATAAGTTCCTCAGAATCATTCCCAGAAAAAACATATTAGTATCACAAGTAAATAATATAAAGTTTGACTATTTAGAAACCTTGAACATTGATATGTATAATGACCTGGAAACAGCGCACAGCTTCACTGGCTCGTGGTCACTCAGGTGATTGGGTATAGAAGGAGTGTGTCAAAAGCAGGGCTGCCACAAACGATTATTTTGAGTCGACTAGTCTGCGATTATTTTTGCGATTAGTCGACTTATCAGATCATCATCCATTACAGCTTATTGCACCAGCAGCATCTGCTCTTATATAACTATCATTAGCTTACAGCTTTAAGTGTTTAAGGTGCTAACTAAAAATAAAGACAAGATGAGAGTTTATTAAATTTTAATGAAGTTTGCAGATTGTCTCGGTGAAGTTTAATAAACTCCTTGCTATCTAAACTATAACAGGACACCGGAGTAAATTCTGGAGCATCTCACACTTCTGATAATCAGCTGTCTGCTTGACGTTTATTCAGCTGTGTAAAAACTATAACTTTAATCTCAGCCAAACCGATTTACTCAGGAACAAATAAAATACTGAAAAAAGCCAAACAATAACATTTTAAGTTATCTAAGTGACTCATATATCATGTTTAACCTGAGTAGCGAAAGACGGCGGTGGGTTTGAAAACGATGTGCCGGGAGTCCGGTGTTCTCACGGCTCTAGTGAGCCTAGCCCCCGGCTAGCTATCGAGCTAGTGGGTAACAGACGTCTCCGAAAACGTCGGAGCGCTTTTGAAAATATGCGGTGTCTTGATAAACTGAGCAGATATTTGAGGTTTACACAGCTACATTCTCGCCTGAACATATGTTAAACATTTATTTTGTGACCCAGAAAGAATAATAAGAGTAATATTAAAACTAACTAGCTGCCGCCATTGTTGGAAACTGAGCAGTAGTGATGTTCGATTCGTGAACGAATCGTTCAATACTCAAGAATCACTTTACTGACTCGTGAATCATGATTCACAAGCCCAACTGACTCACTGACTCATCCCTGTTGCTGTTAGCAAACTAATTCCATTAGTAGAAATATATCTAGCTTATAATTAAAATTGTGGGGGGGGCAGTTTCGTAACAAAAGCATTTCTGCTCTGAACTGGAAGAAAAACCCCTGAGTAGAAGCTCACATCAAGAAAATAGCTCCTCCGTTCACAGTAGCATCGTGCTGCTAACAACACATTTGAGCTACTCACCCCCTCCCTCCTGTGCTGAATCAAAGAGCGAGCGAACAAATCACTCAGGACTCACTCACCCCCTCCCTCCTGTGCTGAATCAAAGAGCGAGCGAACAAATCACTAAGGACTCACTCACCCCCTCCCTCCTGTGCTGAATCAAAGAGCGAGCGAATCACTCAGGACTCACTAACCTCCTCCCTCCTGTGCTGAATCATAGAGCGAACGAATCACTCAGGACTCGCTCACCCCCTCCCTCCTGTGCTGAATCAAAGAGCGAGCGAGCGAACGAATCACTCAGGACTCGCTCACCCCCTCCCTCCTGTGCTGAATCAAAGAGCGAACGAATCACTCAGGACTCACTCACCCCCTCCCTCCTGTGCTGAATCAAAGAGCGAGCGAACGAATCACTCAGGCTCACTCACCCCCTCCCTCCTGTGCTGAATCAAAGAGCGAACGAATCACTCAGGACTCACTCACCCCCTCCCTCCTGTGCTGAATCAAAGAGCGAGCGAACGAATCACTCAGGACTCACTCACCCCCTCCCTCCTGTGCTGAATCAAAGAGTGAACGAATCACTCACTCACTCACCCCCTCCCTCCTGTGCTGAATCATAGAGCAAGCGAACGAATCACTCAGGACTCACTAACCCCCTCCCTCCTGTGCTGAATCAAAGAGCGAACGAATCACTCAGGACTCACTCACCCCCTCCCTCCTGTGCTGAATCAAAGAGCGAGCGAACAAATCACTAAGGACTCACTCACCCCCTCCCTCCTGTGCTGAATCAAAGAGCGAGCGAATCACTCAGGACTCACTAACCTCCTCCCTCCTGTGCTGAATCATAGAGCGAACGAATCACTCAGGACTCGCTCACCCCCTCCCTCCTGTGCTGAATCAAAGAGCGAGCGAGCGAACGAATCACTCAGGACTCGCTCACCCCCTCCCTCCTGTGCTGAATCAAAGAGCGAACGAATCACTCAGGACTCACTCACCCCCTCCCTCCTGTGCTGAATCAAAGAGCGAGCGAACGAATCACTCAGGCTCACTCACCCCCTCCCTCCTGTGCTGAATCAAAGAGCGAACGAATCACTCAGGACTCACTCACCCCCTCCCTCCTGTGCTGAATCAAAGAGCGAGCGAACGAATCACTCAGGACTCACTCACCCCCTCCCTCCTGTGCTGAATCAAAGAGTGAACGAATCACTCACTCACTCACCCCCTCCCTCCTGTGCTGAATCATAGAGCAAGCGAACGAATCACTCAGGACTCACTAACCCCCTCCCTCCTGTGCTGAATCAAAGAGCGAACGAATCACTCAGGACTCACTCACCCCCTCCCTCCTGTGCTGAATCAAAGAGCGAGCGAACGAATCACTCAGGCTCACTCACCCCCTCCCTCCTGTGCTGAATCAAAGAGCGAACGAATCACTCAGGACTCACTCACCCCCTCCCTCCTGTGCTGAATCAAAGAGCGAGCGAACGAATCACTCAGGACTCACTCACCCCCTCCCTCCTGTGCTGAATCAAAGAGTGAACGAATCACTCACTCACTCACCCCCTCCCTCCTGTGCTGAATCATAGAGCAAGCGAACGAATCACTCAGGACTCACTAACCCCCTCCCTCCTGTGCTGAATCAAAGAGTGAACGAATCACTCAGGACTCACTAACCCCCTCCCTCCTGTGCTGAATCATAGAGCAAGCGAACGAATCACTCAGGACTCGCTCACCCCCTCCCTCCTGTGCTGAATCAAAGAGCGAGCAAACGAATCACTCAGGACTCACTCACCCCCTCCCTCCTGTGCTGAATCAAAGAGCGAACGAATCACTCAGGACTCACTCACCCCCTCCCTCCTGTGCTGAATCAAAGAGTGAACGAATCACTCAGGACTCACTAACCCCCTCCCTCCTGTGCTGAATCAAAGAGCGAGCGAATCACTCAGGACTCACTCACCCCCTCCCTCCTGTGCTGAATCAAAGAGCGAACGAATCACTCAGGACTCGCTAACCCCCTCCCTCCTGTGCTGAATCAAAGAGCGAGCGAACGAATCACTCAGGACTCACTCACCCCCTCCCTCCTGTGCTGAATCAAAGAGCGAGCGAACGAATTACTCAGGACTCACTCACCCCCTCCCTCCTGTGCTGAATCATAGAGCGAACGAATCACTCAGGACTCACTAACCCCCTCCCTCCTGTGCTGAATCAAAGAGCGAGCGAACGAATCACTCAGGACTCACTCACCCCCTCCCTCCTGTGCTGAATCAAAGAGCGAGCGAATCACTCAGGACTCACTCACCCCCTCCCTCCTGTGCTGAATCAAAGAGCGAGCAAACGAATCACTCAGGACTCACTCACCCCTCCCTCCTGTGCTGAATCAAAGAGCGAGCGAATCACTCAGGACTCACTCACCCCCTCCCTCCTGTGCTGAATCAAAGAGCGAGCAAACGAATCACTCAGGACTCACTCACCCCCTCCCTCCTGTGCTGAATCATAGAGCGAACGAATCACTCAGGACTCGCTCACCCCCTCCCTCCTGTGCTGAATCAAAGAGCGAGCGAACAAATCACTCAGGACTCACTCACCCCCTCCCTCCTGTGCTGAATCAAAGAGCGAGCAAACGAATCACTCAGGACTCACTCACCCCCTCCCTCCTGTGCTGAATCAAAGAGCGAGCGAACGAATCACTCAGGACTCACTCACCCCCTCCCTCCTGTGCTGAATCAAAGAGCGAGCGAATCACTCAGGACTCACTCACCCCCTCCCTCCTGTGCTGAATCAAAGAGCGAGCTAACGAATCACTCAGGACTCACTCACCCCCTCCCTCCTGTGCTGAATCATAGAGCGAACGAATCACTCAGGACTCGCTCACCCCCTCCCTCCTGTGCTGAATCAAAGAGCGAGCGAACGAATTACTCAGGACTCACTCACCCCCTCCCTCCTGTGCTGAATCATAGAGCGAACGAATCACTCAGGACTCGCTCACCCCCTCCCTCCTCTGCTGAATCAAAGAGCGAGCGAACGAATCACTCAGGACTCGCTCACCCCCTCCCTCCTGTGCTGAATCAAAGAGCGAGCGAACGAATCACTCAGGACTCACTCACCCCCTCCCTCCTGTGCTGAATCAAAGAGCGAGCAAACGAATCACTAAGGACTCACTCACCCCCTCCCTCCTGTGCTGAATCAAAGAGCGAGCGAATCACTCAGGACTCACTCACCCCCTCCCTCCTGTGCTGAATCAAAGAGCGAGCGAACGAATTACTCAGGACTCACTCACCCCCTCCCTCCTGTGCTGAATCAAAGAGCGAACGAATCACTCACTCACTCCCTCCCTCCTGGCTCACAGCTGCTTCTTCTTCTTCTTCTTCTTGGTTGGCAACCAATGTTAAGGCGCATTACCGCTCCCTGGCTCACAGCGCAGTGGACATTTAGATGAGAAAATGTATATTTGACACACTTAAGGAAAATACTAATAAAATACAAATAAACAAAATAAATGTTTATTAAGCAATTTTGATAAGAAATTGCTTAATTTTAGAAATGTTTTTGCTCTTTTTTTCTCTATAAAATAGTTGGGTTTTTTTGGGTTTTTTTTTTAATCATTCATCTTAGCAGTGGGATTTACATGAAAAGGGAAACAAATTAAGTTTGAGTGAAAATGTAAAATTTTTGCACTCTCTGGTCAACTGACTCAGTGAATCAAATGACTCAAAACACCCGATTCACTTTGGTGAGTTACTCATTAACACTCGATTCAGCAAAAAGAATCAAATTTACCATCACTACTGAGCTGGGCGGTGCTATGAATTCTGGTACACAGCTTCTTCTTCTTCGGGGTTTAACGGCAGCTGGCATCCTTGTACATGCAGTGCTGCCATCTTCTGTTTCAGTCCGTTATTACACTCTTAAATCCTGCTACTTATTCCTGCGTCTTTTGGGATCTTACAAAGCTTCAAACGACGCGTCGACTATTAAACTAGCCGTCGACGATTTTGATAGTCGATGTAATCGTGGCAGCCCTAGTCAAAAGCAAAGATGGACACAGGCTCACCCTGTCACCTGCTCCGTAATAATCTGTGCGTCACACTTGTATAATTTACAGGATTTTGATTTTTATGAATGACTGAAGTGCAGCCCTGGACTGTTTTAACGAGTTTGTGCTGCTAACGTGCAGACAGGCCGTCTCTCTTTAATGGGGCTGGTAGGGACGCTGGAAATACCAACCTGCTATCTGGACGGTAAACACATCTCCAAACTTCCTCTTATGTTCTTTCAGAAATTTGTGGGCATCTTTCCCAAACTCCAGAGCTTTTCCAATGAAAGGAATCCAGCCTTTTATTAAAGGGGGCTCATCTTCTCGTCTGCAAGCAACACACAAGAGAAACCACATTATTTCACCTCTGTGAGTTTGACATCAAACAGTTTATCTGGCGTCACACAGCGTGTCTGATCTGAACTTTGAATCCTCCTGTGGACGGAGGCTCAGGTGTTCCTGTTCACTGAGATTGTGAAACTGTAATAAAGGGTAACCTCAGGCAGAAAAACACTCCCTCCTATAAAACACCTTCAGAGTCTGCTGCGGTTATTAAACAGACGTCTGCCTGCTGTGAGCTTCAGGATCTGTTTTCTATCGGCTCGCTGCTGTTCGGTCAGCTCACATGTAAACTTGCTTTTAAACAGAGAATCAGTCAGTGCAGTTTGATTTAATGCAAGGAGCCTAACATGCTGCATCAGCCCGTGTGTGCACTGTGCCCCATTCCCTGGATTAATGGCCGTAATCCTGAGCAGTCCGGTGTTTACCCAGAGCTCTGCCGTGGAAGCCCGAATGTCGTGAAGGAATTTCTCAGGAAACACGAAAACGCGTCCGGCCCAGTCACAATCTGAGCTCGACTTCCTGACCTAACATCAACGGTTTAAGCGCCGAGTCTCCACTTTGATCCGAGTTACAAACCCTAAACGAGCTGCGAGTGCAGAAAGCCAGAAACACTCCACCCAGCTCCACGTTTGGACAGAAAGGTTCAGTTTGATAACACAGCAGGAAACAAACTATCACAACAAGCGTCACATTTACAGGGTTCATGCCTCAACAAGACTCCGATGTTCTGCATAATTAGCAAACAGGGAACGAAACCCTGAATTAACGAGGGACGAGGACACAGAATGACTTCAGCTCTCTGCCAGAGTTTGCAGCCGGATCACCTCGAAGCAGTCGTCGGTCACAGTGATGCTCTGTGTTCACACTACTGATGGACTCGTGTACACAAACAAGCACACACAACGTGACCCCAGAGAAGTGCAACACAAACACAGCATTTCTGAAAGCGATGCAAAGTGAGGCCTTTCTCTCCGAGCTGCTCCCTCCAGGAGTCACATCTTCTGTTCCAGCGTCCTCCTCTGTCACTGCATGTCCTCCTTCGCTACGTCCACAAACCCAAGGCTTTCCTTCACTCATTCCTACATTTACATCTGTCTTAATCACCTTCACCTGACCTTCAGGTAAAAAGGACGCACACAAAGGCAGAAACGAGATGTAAAGAGATGTCTTTAAACGTAACCAAGGAGTGAAACTAAGACTCCGCACGACTCCCACGGGCCGTGAGAGGAATCGTGACTCCGGGGGAACAAAGAGAAACGCGGCCCTGCCGGGTCCGAGCTGAAGGGCGCCTCACTGCCTCGAGAAAACAACTTGTACAAAGGACCGAGCAGCAGGGTCATTACTGCGCCGCATTCATGCGCAGCGGCTGGAAACGTTCCACCCTTTAACCAATCTGAGGTTCCCGCTGTGAGTTTCCTCCTGAGCTGCTAAGTGTTCCCCTGCACTTCCAGTCTTTGTGCCTCACACTGAGAGGAACTTCCTCCTGGGAGCAAAAGGTCACGGGACACCCTGGAGGCGGCCCAGTTGTCTTCAAACACAGACAGGAAGCCTTTCATTGGGGCCAGACAGCCAAACATCGCCGACACCATCAGTTAATCTGCTCTCATTACGTCATCTGAATACAAAACAACTTTATTTCTATCGCACATTTAAAACCAAAGGTAAACTAAAGTGCTTCACAACGAGGTTAAAACACAACAGATATCTGAATCAGACCAGAGAACCGGGTGTGAGTCTCTCCCGGTAGCTGGTTGGGTGTAAAGTATGAGTGCATCTGCAGAACGAGTCACCTGACCAACAGCCGGTGTGTGTGCACTAACGTGCGGCCAAACCTAACGAAGCCGTGTCTGCACATGCTCAAACATCAGCCTCCCACCTCCAGTCACTCCCTGCAGAGAGATCCCTGCGTGCCTTTCTATCCCACGCTGTGCCACGTGACCACACCGTCCGTCTCATCCAGGTGAAACCCGTGAAGCCGGGTTACTGATATTTCAGAGACATCGTCCCGTTTCATGTGCTCAGTTTAGATGAACCTGCAGCAGCTGTGTCAGACTGCAAAGTGTGGAAACTGAGGAATGACGCGCTGTGTGTCGGTCCAGACACCGAGTGTCCGCTGTGAGACGCCGAGTGTGTCAGAGACCAAGACGTGGAGGCGATCGGCGCTCTGAGAACGACCGCGGGGACAAAGAGTTCAAGAATGCAAGACAGAAATATTTGGAACATCCCACCAGATGGACATCAGCGCTCCCACTCAGCTGTGGGAATCCAGCATAAGGATCCAGAACAGGACAAAGCTGGACGGCGCGTGCAGTCTGAGGAGGCACTGTCCTGGAACAGCAGAGTTTGAAGCCTGAGCGTTTAAGTCCTTACAGTCGTTCGAAATGCTCGGAAACTCTGGATGTGCAACCACAAATCTGCTGCGAGAAGAAAGAAACCAGAGAAATCTGCCTTCAGAGTTTCTGTCGATGCTGCAGGATTCTCAGGGTTAGCCGCTCGCTTCAAACGCTGAGTGAACGACGTCACTCGTGAGCCGAGGGCGTCTTCAAACACCCCACACTGTTCTGGAGTCAGCTTCACACCAGGCGCATCAATCAGATGCTCCTCGAATGATTCGGTGCCGACCAAATTCATCCAAACGTGGCTCAGAGATCTCACCTGTCCCACCTGCAAAAGCATTTGTCTATACTGCGCTGGAGCCGAGCACAAGCCGAAGGGAAGCCAGCCGTTCCCAAAACGTGTGATAAAGGCTGTGAGTGGCGTGCTGCTGTCCTCCATGATGGTCCGCCTTGCACCAGCGCTGAGAACCATGCGCTCCTGCTCAGGACGCTGAGCATGTGTTGAGCAGGAGGGATGGGATGACGTCACGCTGCATCAGAGACGGGATGCATCCCATTTCATTCTCATCTTTGGAAAAAGCAGCCGTCTCACCTGCTGATCTGGGGTCAGCTGAAACAGGTGGCTCCCATAAATCACGGCTGAATTTCTCCCCCTCACCGTACGCTCCTTCCCTCCAGCGGCAGGAGTCAACTTACTTAACCAGTGATCGCCGTCTACAGGGCAAACAGCTGTAACTCGCTGCAGTCGCCCGGCGCGGCGCGAAGGATGAGGGTGATGTCATGGTTCCTGCTGGAGGTGGGAATCACCATACATCCCACGATACGATGTTATTGCAATTTTTAAAAATATTTTGCGATATTCAGATTCTGTCCATAAAGTTAAACTTTATCAATATTCATTTTATCTAATATCAAAGTCTCACACTCAGTCTTTCTCTCATTTCAGTTTTATTGTTGACAAACTGAACGGTTTGTATTACAGTCTAGTCCAACTGAACTGAAAACATCTGGTACAATTACAGCTATTTATAAAAACTATGCAATATGAAAACTATGCAGCCCATTCAGCAACTGAAGAATTTGAAAGTAAATTAAAACAAAATATAATTTTACATTAAATAAAAAAGTTTTAAACTTAATTAAAATAAAACATGTCTTAAATTAAAATAAGTAAACGGTCATGTTTATTGCTGCCATAAGAAAAGTTAAACACATTTGGACAGTGTCAGGATTGTTGCTCAGAAAAAAGATCAACATGCTCTGAAGTCAGAGCACAAAAACCTTTTTTGTAACAAAATATCGATTTCTGCTGTCCCTGTATCGATACATTATTAGCAAACAAAATATCACAATGCTACACAGTATCGATTTTTCCCCCACCCCTAGTTCCTGCCATTAGTAACTGGGATGACCACGCTGGACCGATTTCCCCTCTGCAGGGCGATGACGGTTTGCCCCTCTGGTAATGCTGACACGTCCTCACACCCTCACTGCAGGAGTTTTGCGGCCCTCGGGTTTCTCCACCTCAGCTGATTGTTTTGCTCTTCTGTGGTTCATTAACTTTCACTGATTTGCTGCCTGTATTTTTCTTTTGCATTGATCGTCTCTCTGATCTGCTTCATTCATCTTATCGATGAGTCTGTCACCCGAGGATCATCGAGATGAAGCTCGATACCCGAAAGCTCAGTGCTGACAGACCTGAAGTCCTTTTGCACGAGTTCTGGGCTCTTCATCAGACCCGGAGTCTCCCGAGGGGAGCAGAAGCCTCTCCTTCAGCTACAGTTGTCCTGAGGAGGAGGTTTTGAGGAGATTCACGGCTGACCAGCCTGCGATACTGGGGTAGGGGCAGGTCACCATCCACCTGAAGCTGCCTCTAAGACTCAAACTAAGACTTCAGCGCAGCTCCTGTAGCGTCTCTGTGATGCACCGGGTCTGTGCGTGAGTCTGAGCTTCTCCCCACTTTGACCTCTGGTCGTCTCTCACTCAGTGACCTCATCCTCCATCTCTTTGTTTCCTTTCGTGTGCGTGTTGATCTTCTTCCACTTCCTGTGGCAGCATCGATCTCAACACACTTCCATCATGTGCCCGAGTCTGGAACGGGACAACGAGCACTTCCGTCCCGCAGTGACCCCAGGCTACCCCACCCTTTGCTTCGCTGCTGGGAAACATTACAGTCGGACTAGCAGTGAACGTGACCCGGGTCAAAACTACAGAACAAACACGAAAACATCGTTCATGAAAAATGTTACAATGCCGATAATCACCGACACGTTTCAGAGCCAACCAGGAGCTCCGCGTGCAACAACTTTTCTCATCAACACAGACACGAAAAATCAGAGCCGAGCCGAGCCGGGCCGAGCCGGACAGAGATGCGGGCGGACTCACCTCGTCCTGCCGCGCAGGACCAGCAGGAGCAGCGGCAGGAGCAGGCCGAGCACCAGCAGCAGCAGCGGGGACATGATCCTACCTCTCTCCGGGACTCACACCGGAGCGCTACTCTGCGGGAGCGCGCACACACACAGATACACGCGCACATCACCGGAAGCTTTCAAAATAAAACACACCAACTTCAGTTTGTTTTTATCGATCATATGGATGCCACATGTGACACACAGAATACAAAGTTATAAGAACAAAGATAAAAACGAGGCCGCGAAGACTCAAATCTCCTTCACTGAGTGCGTGTTCTTCGTGGATGTGGGGTTGGAGTGGAAGCTCGCTGTCAGCTGGGACAGTTGCAGTCCACGCCTGTGAAAACGGAGACCACCAACACTGTTAGGGACCGTGAAAAGAGCTCAGGCAGCTTTCTCTCTAATCACATCACCGTGTCTGATGAAGGGATGAAGGCAGATCAGGGTGTTTCCTTTCATGAGACCAAAATATACCTGACCTAATAAATAAGTCTCTGGGAAGTAAAACGAGTTTCATGGCTGTCACAACACTGCAGAGCGTTGTGTGTGTCGTCCTGTTCTGTCTTATCTTGTTTATTTGTGCATTTGTTTGCACATTGCACTTTACGTAGTCCTGTGTTTGTGTGTTACATGTCTGGTTGAAATGACAATAAAATCTGTCGATTCATTTCAATGAGAGTTTGTTTGTGGCAGAGACCAGCTAAGAGAACAACAGCATCCATTATTAACCAAACTTTGGATTTGCAGACTCAGCAGGTTTTGTTTTTCCACACAGTTAATCCAGGAAAGGCTTTAAAGTCATGCAGAAGTCAGACGGCCGAGTCCGCACCGCCTGCACCAACACACCGAGTTACATCCTGAGAGGACAGAAAACGGGCTTTCATGAAGTGATGCTTCTCAGCCGGGGAAAGCGCCACAGTGTTACTGATGATCGGTAACAGTCAAAGAAGTTCCTGTAAAATTAGCTGAAGTGCAATAAGAATACTTGTGACATAAAAACCAAAAACAATCATTTTAAGTGTTCTGTGAGTCTGTGTGCTCGGGCAGACTGTAACAGGAAGCAGGCCGAGCCAATCGAAACCAGATATCTGGAGGTACATTCATGGCTTTTCTGTCTCTGTATGAAGCACTGCCGTGTACCTGATAAAACACCGCCTCTCCTGAAAGCCTAGGAAACAAGCACTGCAAACAGCCGAGTGTGTGCGTGTGTGTTGTGCTGACATGAAAACTACTATAGGAACAGGAAGGAGACAGAACACGAGCTGAGGCGCTGCTCTGGTTCTGCAGCGTGACATAATGTAAGTGTAAACCTGCTCAGTGCACACTCACAGAGTCAAAGTCCACTCACAGAGGAAGCAGCGAGTCCCTGCTGTGTACCTTCTGCCTGCCAGACACGCGAGCTGTGCTCCACCCGCCAGCGGAGAAGAACAAAGGCCACGACTTCATGAAACTGCTGCACCGAGTATCAACAGGAGGACGTGTTTTTGCAGGGCACAAAAGAGAGACTGCAGTTTGGTGAAAGAGCCTCTGTAATATCTCTGATCTCAGATAACGTAGCTTTACAAATCATGGCTCTTACACCTGTGTTTGCGCAGGTAAATGTGTTTTAGATGAGTCCAGCGTGCAAAGGCAGCCCTCCCTGTATATGCAGGAGAAACCGGTCAGATGACCTGTGAGCACAGCTCCATAATTCAATTAACCTCTTAAGAGCCAAGTCTACCTGATCTCCTGCCTTTTGCCCCTGGAGGGGGGCGTTGGGGCTTAAGAGGTTAAAGGGAAGTTGCAGAAGTCCAAAATCTCCTCAGCTGGAGACAAAAATTACATTTATTCCCCAAAATCAAGTTTTGAGCTCTACGGACTGAGAAATTCTGACATTAGAGAGAAACCACCAATCAGATCAGACGATGCACAACGAACACTTAGAGAAGAATTTCCTTTTAACAGGAAGAACTTTGTTGGAACATGTTTCTGCAGTGAACTTTGCCGCTGGGATTCGCTCACAGATTTCACCTGTTGACTCTAAATCTGGACACTGTTCCCTGTTTTTTAGTTTGGAGCGTCTCAGTACTGGACAGCCTGGATGACCGAACAGGTTTCAGCTTTTAAGTCTGTGAAGCCAAACTGAAGGCAGGCTTTTGTTGGTCCTGAACTGATGCTCGACGATCACTCCAGAAGGAAACTGAATCAGGAGCAGAGCGCCGATGCTGAATGTCTCTGAACATCCACTTTAGACATTCTCATCTCGACTGTTTCCCACCAAGTCTGTCAGCGACGAGTGTGGAAAGAAATCATCTCAATCTGAGAGTGAAGGTATCCCAGCGTGATGGGTGACCAGTGCCGGCTTGTGTAAAGAGACATTGCTCAAACATTTCTGAGACAGAAACACGCTTTAACGTGTCTCTGGCATTAGCGGCTCATGTGTTTGGAGATCGGCCGCTCCTCTTTACAGATCAGGAACTTTGCCACCTGAAATAAAAACATTAACGATCAGTGAAACAGCTGTTCTTAAATGTTTCTGTTATTATCGTTTTATTTTGTCGTCTAACCAGGGTCAGGTCTGTAAGTGAGCCGTGGCCACAAGCAGCACATGTTTGTCTATCAGCGTTAATGAAACACAAAGACAATAAGTTAGTGGGAAATCGATAAAATTCCAGACGTGTTGACACATGAGCGAAACCCGACGTGGAAGCTTAACTCACATCAGTGAAAACGCCGATAAGAGCCTGTGTGAAGCTGCCAGCACAAACACAAGCAGTCATGTCACGCTGGTCCTGTGCAGAGACCGTTACCTGTAAACTCACGTTGCATGTCCTCTGATTACACCAACATTTGTTTCTTCTGCTCTGCACGGCTTTTATTTTGGAGGCGAACGCCGAGTTCTGCACTAGATGTGCTCGTCCTCACGCGGACAAACTGTCCCACAGCTGCTTCACAACAGATCCAGAATATGTCTGTTAAGTTACAGCACGTCAGCGATGACCTGCAGAAACACACAGTGCCAGCGTGGGCGCACGGACTCAAACCCTCGGCTCGCCGGGCCTCTGGGCTGAGATCGGGGTTCACGCTGTGATTGTCTGACCTGATTCTGCTGAGTGAAAGTGTGCGAGCAGCGGGTTGAGTTCAGTGCACGTGTATGTGCAGCCAACAGCCTGCAGTGTTAGAGGGATGACCCCTGTGGGCCGACACGAGGCGACAGCAGGAAGGAAAAACTCCCTTCCAACAGGAAGTTAAGAACCCGGATCAGGGTTGGGTTGTGAGAAAGGAGAGCATAAGGAAAGAGGACGTTTCCTCCTGTGCCATCAATGTGCAGGAAGTTACAGCTGTTCAGCCTTCAAAATAAAAGCCCAAATACTCTCAGCAACAGTTTTCAATTTGTTCGGTTATTTTTGAAACAGAAACGTTTGTATGGAGGTCAGAAGGAGTTTAATGTGTAGCCAGTGCTTTGTGCTGCATTTTTCTGAAGACTGTATATAAAAGATGGACATAACCACGACACAACATTCCTTGATGTTAGGATTTGTTGGAAAGCGACCTCCCAGATGTTTTTCTGTGAAGCGTCTTCTATTCTTTCTGAAACCGTTACGCTCAGAGGCGGGCTGAGGTCTCCAGTTGGAGCCTCGTCAGGCGTTTATTGAGATGCGTTAAACGTCGTGGGGCTGGAGCTCTGTCAGGACTCACTGAAAAGATGCAGGACTTCAGCTCTCTGCTTGAGCAACAGTGTGAGAAAAAAAACTCTGTGAGCTTCAACATCACATCTGATGTAATCCGAGCGTTCCCGCAGGAGGCCGGCTCTTGTTGGGAAAGCAGCCGTCTGGTTCTCATTAACGGCTCCGAGCTTCACGTAGACTTCCACAAAATTGGATTACACTGAAAAGACGTCACTGATGTCTTCGTGTGGCTCTCAGCACAGTCATCGTTAACTATGTGAGGACGATGAATCATGACACTGTGTCAGGAAATGAACGAGGATCCAATTGCAGGCACTCATTGAATGTGGTTTATTGTAGAACAAAAGTGGAAATGGCAAAACGGAACAAAACTAATCTGTACTGAGACAAACTAAACTACTGAACAGCAAACATACACACAAAGGTACATGATGGTGACAGCAGGGAAACCACACAGCAGATACACAGACGGCCCAACGACTACAACAACAGAAGACACGGCTTAAATACACTCAGAGAACAGGGACATTACACACAGGTCGGGAACACAGCTGCAAGTAACTGACAAGACGAGACAAGGAAGGCAAACTGAATACACACATAAGACACAGACTTTCACAATAAAACAGGAAACAAGAAACCATCACACAAGGACGCAGACTCGACACAGAGAGGCAGACAGAATATAACACATGGACCTCAAACTATGCTAAACATGAGACACAACCGAAGAACAAATCCTTAAACACAAAAACCAGAAACAGAACCAGCAGAGCACACGAGCATCAGAAAACAAACCGAAACACAAGAAACGACCCAGAACCGTGACACCGTCACAGGAAGCTCCTGCTCAGGTTCTCGGCTGGAATGAGTCTTTGATGAGTCAGCGTTTGCTCGGCGTCACAGACTTTCAGGCTGAAGGCTTAAAGTCAACACAGTCCTGTGAATAAAGAAGTCTGTGTGACTGTACGCTCGATCGCAGCTCGAACGCTCAGAGGAGGAAACTGGATGATTAAACACCCGCGTCCGTTACTCTCACATCCTCCCTCTGACCTGTCAATACTTTAGCCCCACCCTGCAGTACTGTGCAAAAGTCTCGCGCCACTCCTCATCTTTAAAAAGGAGCCAGACAGCGCTCTTCATCAGCAGTTGGCTGCATTTTCACAGCAGCTTTTTTTATTGAGCCATTAACTCTGACCTGAGGTTCAAGCAAAGAAAGCTGTGGCTGTAGCCCAGAGCAGGAATCTGCCAATCAGAAGGTTGGTAGCTCGATTCCTGGGATATCTGAATCCTCGAATGTCCGAAAACCAGTAAAGCTCCACCAGCAAACCTCCACCAGCAAACCTCCACCTGCAAACCTCCAACAGTAAAGCTCCACCTGCAAACCTCCAACAGTAAAGCTCCACCAGCAAAGCTCCACCTGCAAACCTCCAACAGTAAACCTCCACCAGCAAACCTCCACCAGTAAAGCTCCACAGCAACTCCACCGCAACCTCCACCAGCAACCTCCACCAAGAACCTCCACCAGCAAACCTCCACCAGCAAACCTCCACCAGTAAAGCTCCACCAGCAAAGCTCCACCTGCAAACCTCCACCAGCAAACCTCCACCAGCAAACCTCCACCAGTAAACCTCCACCAGTAAAGCTCCACCAGCAAACCTCCACCAGTAAACCTCCAACAGTAAAGCTCCACCAGCAAACCTCCACCAGCAAACCTCCACTAGTAAACCTCCACCAGCAAACCTCCACCAGCAAACCTCCAACAGTAAACCTCCACCAGCAAACCTCCACCAGTAAAGCTCCACCAGCAAACCTCCACCAGTAAAGCTCCAACAGTAAAGCTCCACCAGCAAACCTCCACCAGCAAAGCTCCAACAGTAAACCTCCACCAGCAAAGCTCCACCAGTAAACCTCCACCAGCAAAGCTCCAACAGTAAACCTCCACCAGCAAAGCTCCACCAGCAAACCTCCACCAGCAAAGCTCCAACAGTAAACCTCCACCAGCAAACCTCCACCAGCAAACCTCCACCAGTAAACCTCCACCAGTAAAGCTCCACCAGCAAACCTCCAAACCTCCTTTTGTTCTGCCCGTTGTGCAGCTGCAGTAAGAGGATCTTACGTGGTCAGTACACACAAACAAAACAGTGAAGAAGGCACAGCAGCGCCTCTTCTTTCTCAGGAGACTGAAAAGATTCGGCATGAGCCCCCGCATCCTCAGGACCTTCTATCACTGTGCCATTGAGAGCATCCTCACTGGATGCATCACCACCTGGTATGGCAACAGCACCGCCTACAACTGCAAAGCTCTCCAGCGAGTAGTGCGGTGCTCTGAACGGATAATTGGAGGTGAGCTTCCCTCCCTCCAAGACATCTACAGGAAGCGGTGCCTGAGGAAAGCGGGGAGGATCATCAAGGACTCCAGTCACCCCAGCCATAAACTGTTCAGACTGCTTCCATCAGGAAGGAGGTTCTGCAGCATCCGGTCCCGTACCAGCAGACTGAGAGACAGCTTCTTCCACCAGGCCATCAGACTGCTGAACACGTCATAGACACCTCAGCTTCACTACTGGAACTTCAACATTATGCACTCCATACTGTACAGTAATGCCACTGTTTTGCACATATTCAACTCTGTATATTTTTATATATTTTATTATTATTATTATTATTATTTTTTTTTACTATTTAATTTGTAAAAATGTGTATACACACACACACACACACACACCACACACACACACACACACACACACACACACACGTAGGAAAATATTTAGTATACACATCCAGAAATGCATACACTATTATATATTGTACATATATTTATTAGTTTCAGGTTGGCCATTCTTGTATTTTGCTCGTTTGTGTTGTTGTGTTTGCACATCTCTGTTGCTTGTGGGGCTCGCACACAAGAATTTCACTCGCTGTGCCAGTGTGCCTGCACATGTGATTTGACAATAAAAGTGATTTGATTTGATTTGAGCTGGGACTCTCCAACCTCTAGGAAGGGAACGGGCACTGAAATAAGGGATTATGGGTTATGACCACGATCTGCAGAAGAGCATCTCTGAGCCTTGAAGCAGGCGGGCTACAGCAGCAGGAGACCACGTCAGTGTCACTGCTGTCAGTGAGAACAGGAACCTGAGGCTACAGCTCACAGACTCGCACAACTGGACAACACAAGGTGGGAAAGCGCTTCCTGGTCTGAGGAGCCTCGGATGGCCTGTTTCAGTGTTCAGGCTGCTGCTGATTGGAGCTTCTTCTGAAGCTCGAATTAAACAGGATGGTGAGTTCACTGCACTCAGACGGCCTCCGCAGCCACAGATCTCAGTCCTGCAGAGCCGTTTGGGATGTGGGGGAACGGGAGAGTTGCATCAAGGATGCACCAGCTGTGTCATGATGTCGTGATGATATCATGTCAACAGGGACCAAAATCTGTGAGGAACATCTGAGCCATGAAGAATGAAACCAGCTCTGAGCTTCACCCTGACACTAGCAAGGTGTACCTAATAAAGTGACCAGCGTATTACTGTAGGGTCTGTACTTTACAATAAGCACCTTGAGACAGCAGTTAATGCTAAGTAAATCAAACTGAAGTGAGATTGGAGCGCTGCAGTACTCTCATGGCACTTAGACCCCACAGTGTACGATAAACTCAGTGTTTGTTTGACGCTGTGGGCGTCAGGCCCAAAATCTCTGCTGGAAAATAAACCAAAGCACACGGAGTGCTGAGGGTCATTTACCAGAAATAACACAAATGATATGCACTCATGAAGTTATGACAAATATTTGTAAATACAGCTGATAAACTTTCACAATAACTGCAGCAGCCGGTCCCGCAGTCAGCGTGTTAGTCTCTCCCTCACAGTGAATGCTGCCCATCAACCCATCAGGAGCTGAGTTCATTGTTTACGATGGGACCGCTGGAGAACAGCTGCATGTTTATTTGAATGTGCAGGTGAGACTGCAGGAGATACTGTTCTCTGCTGTTCTCAGAGGACGACACGCTCACTGAAGGGAAAGCAAACGCAGGCAGTGCAGCAGCAGAAGAACGCTGAGGTTTGCACGCTGCTGGTAAAAACAGATTTCCAGATGAGACACGGTGAACACTTCAGCTGAGTGGAAATATCCCACAAAAGTCTCTCTGCAGGCTCGTGTCAGGGTGAGCAGTGAGATTATTTTAGGACAGTAAGAGGAGCGTGTTGTGTGCTGCAGAACATTCAGTGCTGGCTGACAAACTTTAAAATGCATTCAGATTGCTGATGAACGATTTGGACGCGGTTCAGAAAGAGTTCAACGAGCCAAAGACACCAGGACGGCGACCCTCGCCGACCCTCTCGCCTGCTGCTGCTGCGTCTGTGCCTCTGAGCTGTCCACAGCATGTGTGGTGTTTACGATTGTGTAACTCTGTGTGAGCTCATCGCGCTCGTGTTTTTGGACGCAGCACGGCCGGGCCTCCTCTGCGTGAACTGCAGTAACCTTTCAGCAGCACGAACAACAGCAGCTTTTCTTTTTCTGCACAGAGCTTAACAAAAGCTTCCTCTCAGCGGACGAGTCAAAGCCGCATTGAGCCAGAACACTCAGAGAAGCCGCCGCCCCTCTCTGAGCCCACTGCAGGTGGCGCCGACGACCTGCAGGCAGAGACGTGTCGACTCGTCTCATTTGCCTCTTCTCACTTTTGGATCTTTCTTACATTTGGAGCACAGCAAACCAACCCCACGCCTCACACCAGTACTGGGCCCACAGTGGGCTCTGCTCCCTCATCCAGAGCTGATTTTTCCTGACATTCCCCCGGCGTTCATGCCTCCTCCCACACCCTAAGCAGGGATCTTTGCTTCAGTGAGACAAGTCATCACTAATCAGAATGAAAAAACCCAAAATGTTCGCACCAAACAGGTTATTCTGATTCAGAAAATGGAATCTGGCCTGAAGACATGCCCTTCCTTCCTCCCTTCCTTCCTTCCTTTTCTCCTTTCATGGAGGTGTTGGATCAGTCCTTCCTCTGCCTCACACCTGATATCGTAATAAGACCTGTTCTGTGTTTCATCATCTCCACAGCAGACATGCTTCCCTTTTATTGCCTGATTATAAACCATGTGCCAGCAAACATGCCTGTGCAGGCCCACAGACGGCAACCCACACCGATCCCACAGAGGACCCAAGTGGGTGTGCCCACACTGCCCCACGGCAGCTTTGCTCCTCTGGGTCCTTATTCATGTTTTCTGTGGGAAAGCCCTGCATGGGCATGTTTTCCAGGTGACTGGCCCACAGCAGGTGTGGAAACAGGAACAGTGACAAACTCAGGCAGACTTTTGTGTTTCTGGATCGTTACCACAGAAAATCCCATTGTGAAATCTGTGAATCCTGAAACGGTGGAGTGGAGAAGATCAGCCCACTCACATCTTCACAGGTATATTCAAGCCGGTCGGCCGTCCTCCCAGTGCCACAGAAACCCTCAGTCAGCTCAGGCAATGACCTTCGACCTGTAGCACTTACATGCTTTATAAGGTAGAGACTGATCAAGGATCACATCACCTCAGCTCTTCAATCGGCTCCACGAGGATGCCTTATCCACCGAGGATGCCTTATCCACCGAGGATGCCTTATCCACCGAGGATGCCTTATCCACCGAGGATGCCTTACCCACCGAGGATGCCTTATCCACCGAGGATGCCTTACCCACCGAGGATGCCTTACCCACCGAGGATGCCTTACCCACCGAGATGCCTACCCACCGAGGATGCCTTACCCACCGAGGATGCCTTACCCACCGAGGATGCCTTACCCACCGCACCGGAACAGCTCAGCTCAGCATGTAACACCACATCTCCCAGCAGCTGGTAAACAGACGGGGCCCACTCAGGATGAACCCACCCCTTCAAAACTGGATCCATGACTTCCTGACAAGCACACCTCAGTTTGTGCGGGACACAGGGACTCCACTTCCTGCCATTGAGGATGTCCACAAGAAGAGATGTCTACGCAGAGCACGCATCATTCTCAGGGACGCCTCTCATCCTGCCAATAAACTCTTCCAGCTCCGCCCCTCCAGGAGGCGCTACAGGACCCTTCAGACTAAAACCAGCAGGTTTAGGAAGATCTTCTTCCCCACAGCTGTCACCCCCCTATCCCCCCCAGTGACCATGATGTCATTCATTCTCAACATTCACCACACGCTCACATTGGTTACTGACATAGTCTCTGTTACACTGCCCACACTGTTAGTCCAGAGAGCCACACTCCCACTGATGCACTCACAGCACTCTGTAGATGTTCACCTCACACTGCGACATCTGTATAAATGTAACACATCTGTATATCCTGTATAACAATATCCTCCTGAGCACCGGGCCGCCTCAGGGCTGAGTCTTGAGCCCTTAAACGTTCAATGTTTGGTACAAATCACATCATTAAGCACAGACGCACAACAGCATCTGCTTTTTAAGGAGGCACACCCGAGTCCTCAGCACGTTCTACAGACGCTCCACTGACAGTGCTGACGGGCAGCATCTGTGCGTGTGCGCCCCGAGGAGAGCGGCGAGGTCGCCGAGAGGACCAGTGGGGCCACGGCGTCATCTGTTGAGAGCCCGACCACGGCCTGCTCTCACAGGAAACCTCTTTCCAACCGCCATCAGACTGCTGAACGAAGCAGCGGCCACTCTCGAGGTTACTACACAATCTGTCAACAAAACGTTTCAGTGCGATCATAATTTATCCGTTTGGATATTTACCACTGTGTTTATGACATTTGAGGCCCGTGTGTGTTTTTGTGTGAGCAGTGCTGAGTGACAACACAACGAATCCGAAACATCAAACAGCGAGCGCGAGGTTCACCAGTTTTTATTCAGCAGTCACCACACAGACCGTTTCTACGGCAACACACATCACGATGAACACACGATGAAGAAAATGCACGAGTTTCAGCTGGTTTCAGCGAAGAAAACAAAAACATGACGTCAACACAACATCGAAGAAAAGCTTTTATTTCTGACACATGTGAAACTTCACACTTTGACCTGAGCAGAGGAAACAAGAGCAGAGCGCACGGGTGGAGAAGAGCGCGCACGGGTGGAGAAGACGCGCACGGGTGGAGAAGAGCGCGCACGGGTGGAGAAGAGCGCGGACGGGTGGAGAAGAGCGCGCACGGGTGGAGAACAGCTCACCCATGTGCGCTGGGTGTTGTTTTAAAGATGCTTCGGTCACATGACCTGTAATAACGCTGTAAAACGCCGCAGTGCTCAGAGCTCGGCTTTAACACGAGCGTTTAGCGAGGCGGCAGAACCGTGATGTCACACAACACATCAGTCAAGAACCTGGAGGCGGGGCGTCGCCCTCCTCGGGAAGAGGCGGCTTCAGCGGTCCCGTGGTTACCATCAGAGCGGGACATCCTCAGGAACCCGAGGGTTGGAGCTCGACGCTCTGTGGAGGCTCTACGACGGGGCGTTTTATACAGCGTTTCCATGGAAACGCCAATGACATCACCGATGCATTTACCTGCTGTCCTAGATTCAGCCGACACCGCGTTTGGATTCAACAGGCTACTCTGAATGTGATTGGACCGTGCGTTCTGTGGGTGGAGTCGTGAGCACACCTGGCAGGTACACAATCAACACAGAATGAGACGACAGCAGAAATCTGTATATGGAGGTCAAAGGTCACTTCCACTGCCAATCAAATCAGTTTGTTTCACTCTGAAATATCAACAATGAAGCTTCTGATTGGCCGCTGAGCGGAAACCACAGCGTGAGCGAGCGTTCAGGGGAAACAGGAAATGATGTCAGACTGTCAAAAGTTCTGCAAATTTCACTCCAATCGACTGTGCTTTGATTCTTTAACGAGCTCGTTAAAGCTCCTTGGACCTGATGCTCGGAGCGAGCGGTCACTGGATCGTGCTCCTGTTCCCCGCGTCGTCCACAGAGTAACACGCACGCCGTTTACACTCAGCAGCCTCACATTAAACCATGTTTAATAAAAAAAAGGTGGTGATTCCAACCCTTTGGTCTCCATAAACACGACGGTGGTCGGCAATCAAACCTGTGACCTTTCAGTTTCTCTGATTGGCCTGCAGCTTTTAAACTGACGCTCTCTGCTAAACGTGACGGCAGCGGGCGGCGTGATGGTGGACATGAGTGTAGAAAGGCTCGTGCATCTCATCACAGCCGGAGCAAGGACCCAGGCACCGTGTCGGACCGCCTGTTTGAATAACTGCAAACGTTCCTGTCCTGATTTGGAGGTGGTTGGGTGTGTGGGGACGACACACACACACACACACACACACACACACACACACACACACAAGTCTGGAATCATCAGGTCACCTCCTGTTCATCAGCTGAACACATTTAAAAGCTGGATTCTTTTCAGGCGACTGCTGCCGTCTCCACACGTTCTTCCACTCCACGAGGACCACAGGTCAAACGTGGTTGGTCAGTGGAACTTGCACAACAGTGGACAGCAGGAACATGAAGTCCTCTGAGCTCTCAGTGAAGCTGTGAGCTGTCTGCCCACAGGGACACGAGTCAGGAGTTTTATAGCTGAAGTTAGCCAAGGTACGTGATGGTTCCCGTGGAAACCCCGAGGGCTGACTGATGGAGCAGCAGCTTCATTTTTTTTACCTGTGCAAACCCCCGCAGCTCCAACCTGTGCTTCTGACCCTGCAGGTCAGTAAACGCCTCTGCAGCAGAGGGTTAAAGCGGCCGCGTGCTCCTCTAATGACGCAGCCATGATCTGCTCCGTGTCCCCAGCACGCGGCACAAAGCCCTGAGGGGTCTCAGCTGACTGAGCTGTGGTTATGTCCTTCCTCACGTTAACACATCTGCCACATATGAGCGGAACAGTCGTTCACCTCTGACCCCGACACGCGGCTCACGTTACGAGCCCGCGCTCAGACATTACAGGAAACGCTCGGCCCGGCGCAGTGTTTAACCACCTCTTCTTCTCTCGCTCGTGTTGGTCGATCTCTGCAGCCCCAAAGGAAGCAGCAGGAAGTTTGTGATCAGAGAAACTGAAAGGCACGGCTCCCCGCCGCCGCTCCAACACGTCAAACGGCACGAGGGCGAATAAATAATAAACAGTATAAAGGAGGAGGAGTCTCGTTTGTTCTGACTCGGCGTTTGTTCACTTCCTGTCTGTTAAGACATTTTGGTTTGTAACACAAGGACTGGTTCACGGAGAGGACGTCGCCACGTGCAGGTCAGACTGAGCGTGGGACCCCAGGAGGAAACGGTTTCCACGGCAACATTTCACACTTTGCGTCGTCTCTCCAGCTGAACATCCTGATTTGGCAGCTGTGAGTTTTTGTTCTGAGACGAGGACGAAGGTCCGACGGGGGGAGGCGGGGCCGCGGGGCAGCGCCGACCCTTCCGCCCGGTCACCAGTAGAAGGAGCGGGACAGGAAGTTGGCGGCGGCTCCGAGCCAGCTGTTTCCGTCCTGCCCCGATCCCACTCGGCTCACCGCCTTGTCGGGCTCCTGAGATGGGCTCTCCTCCTCCGGCAGGTAGTCCGGCAGGTCCACGTTCTGCTCCACCTCCACAGAGCCGTCCTCCGGGAACGGGATCAGGACCTGCACACACGGACGGGAACGCACACGTTAGACGCGCTGCGATAGGCTGCACACCTGTTCTTTAAGCATGACCCCGCCCCTTGGTTTTTGTGCGTCTTCCTGTCAGTGAACTCGTGCCCGTCATCTTGCCACGCTCACAAACATGAGCTACACCCACTCCCACTGATCCCACTTTGATGGTGTTATCAGCCGGGTGTAGTAAACCCGGCTGGTGCTCCACCTGTGGGAGGCCCACAGTGGGTGCAAACTGGGTGTTACTGTGTGAGCAGGAAATGTTGTAACGTGAAGTCTTTGATGCAGCAGGCCTGAGTGGGCACTCCACAGTGACAGCCGGCTGAGCGAGCACATTTCTAACTACCAGGTGTGAGTGTGTCTCTGCTGCCCCCTGCTGGCCACACAGTGTCTCAGCTCTTTAAAGCCCACAGCTGACAGCACTGCTCCACCTTCTCTTCTGGTGCTTTTAGGTGCAACGTCAGAGCGAACGACGAAGCTGCGAGCACGAGAGCAAGCGTGACGTGCCAACGAGCTGAGAGCCAAACTGACCTCGTCTCCGTCTTCTCCTTTCACCACCTGCAGCGCCTTCATCACCTCGGTGGCGGCGATCGCGGACGCCAGAGCCTGAACACAAAAACACCGTCAGTCATTCACAGACGACCTCCTGAAACTCACATTTCAGCAGCTGATTCACAGAAAATGACAGAAAAACTTCAACAAAGGAACAAAAGCAGATTTCAGGAGGAAGCTGTGATCACGTGATTATACAGCGAGAACCACGAGGGGGCGTGGTCTGGTCTGACCTCGGCCGTCAGGTCCGAGCGGATCCGGACGATGCACCTCTTCGCGGCCATCTGGAAGGTGAAGCTGATCACGCCTTTGATCTTCAGCAGCGCCTCCTCACACATACTCCTCCGACTCTGCAGGGTCACAAAACAAAACGCTCATGACTCCTCCCACCGCCCACGCCAAGGGAATCATTACTGAGTGAAAGGCGCGCTGACCGAGTCGTCCAGGCCGTCGATGTGGAGGACGACGGTCTTGGCTCTCTTGTTGCTTGAGCCCAGGAAGAACTGGGCTTTACGGCGGCTGCTGACGGGCTCCTCGGCCGGTTCGGAGTCGGCGCTGCCGGACGCCTGCAGGAGCTCGTAGATCTCAGACGCCAGCAGCTTCGTCTCGCCGGGCGTGGTCGACCTGGATGGAAAGAGCAGAGCTGTGGAACCTCGTTTTCCCAGCAGCAGGAGCGTCAGCGCTCTGCTCACAGCGCTGCAAGTACGAGCGGGTGAGCAGGTTGGTCTCTACGTACACGTCACTGATATCGACGAGATAAAGCGCCACGATCAGCAGCGACTCACGACATTCCTTCTTCCTTTATTCTCCTCTAAACTTGTTTCTTAGAGCTCACAGCAAACAGGAAGTCACTTTGCTACTGTGCTTGCAGAAACCGGGATCAGCTCCATCAGACTCACTTCTGCATGACGTTCTGGAGGCTCAGCATCATCCCCAGCTCCGCCCTCAGCTTCTCCCGGTTGGCTCGACATTCTGCCAGGTAACGGATCGCCTGGAAGGACACCCGGAAAGAGTCAGAAACTGAATCAGAGAGACGGCTTCCCACACCAAACTCTATTCAAATATCGTCTGATTTAAAATAACAGATTCTGTTGCTGTTCGAGGCGTTTCAGCGCCGACGACCAGCAGCCTCCAACTCGTTCTGATGTTTGGGTTCAGACACCTGGAGCAGATCTTTGCACACAACAGGTGTTACATCAAGCTGAGCTGATCCGGGTGTCTGAAATCCTCATGTAAGCTCCGCCCTCTCTCTATTGGACAGAGTCTATGTGTTTCCACTGGACTGTGAGCTCACCAGCAGGGCGGAGTAGACCACCTGAGGGTTGGGGTGGTCCAGGAACAGGATGAGTCCGGGCAGGCAGCCCTGGTCCTGGACGATGGCCCTGCGGTTCATGGGGTCGGCGGCCAGGTCCCTCAGCTGGTTGACCACGGCCAGCGCGTCCGGCTCGGCGGTCATGGCTGCTGCCGTTCACTCGCCCATAAAAGAAGCAGCTGAGGGGCGAGCAGAGTAAGGTATTCTACGTCATTTATTTTCCTCTCACGACCTCTGACCTCTGAGAAACCCCAGACCATGAATATCACGGGAAACAGAAAACGTGTTTCCTTCACACACATTTTACTGTATTCACAGCCTGACAACAGCCTCTAAGAGCTTTACATCAGAAGGTAAACAGCATGACCTGGTGACCTCAGGATCAGAGGCAGCACGGGGGCGAGGAGATACGAGGACCGTAGTCAGACAGTTTTTATTAGACCCTGTGTCAGATTAAGTATTTTTAATCATCACAGAGGGCGTGGGACCGATTCAGGAAGGTCAGTGCAGGTGTTGCACTACGAACCAGAGCTGTGAGAAACTAGCAATGTTTCCTCTGTTTCTATTCTAGTTCACCTGGTCTTCATTTTCACATCTACGTTAACTGGACGCTTTGTCACATCGCGCTCTAGTTTTCAGTTTAGTTGTAGTTAAGCTTGGTGCTGCTGGGGTGTTGGACAGCACAGTCCCATCAGCAGGAGGTAAGCCTTAGACCCTCGCTCTTGTTTGGAAACGACCCGGCCCCTCTCGTTTCCTCTCATCCTCCTCTGCAGCCGGTGATGGCTGTCCTGGTTCTGCAGCAGTGGGTGGAGAGGATGCTGGAGATGAAGCTCATCTGTGGGAGGACTCGTAGGAGATGCAGCTGGATGCAGGTGTCTGTAATAACCCGTCAGAGCGTTCAGCAGAGATATTAATGAGAGCACATCTGAGGCTGTAGAGGCCGGAGGGCTGTTTCCTGCTGGTGTCCGGCCTCCAGCTGATAAACTCATGTTGGATCTAAAGCTTCATGAACAGACACAGGAACGTCTTCCTTAGAGGAGCCTCGCTGATGATGATGAAGAGAAATGCTTGCTGCTCTATAAACGCTCTGATATATTTGATTCTGACAGCTGTCAGACTGAAGTCTGGATGGACCCACCTGTCCTACCTCCCTGTATTTCATGTCAGTTGTTAATGTGCTGCCGAACCGACCGGAAACCTCCCCCGTGTCTGCCGTTTCTCCGTTATTGCGTCTTTGATCGTGTTTCTTTCTACAGAAGCCGGAAGAAGCTAAATCAGCTGATTCTCGCGCTAACTTTGGAGCCGGCCTGCGGTCGCGGCTCAGCGCGGGTCTCAGGCGCTGTGTTCGGCTGCCCGAGCCCCGGGAGCACTCACCTCTCTGACGGACACCGAGCGCCGGCTAGCGGCTAACTGGTCGCGTGGGCTGTCCGGTCGGCCTCTCCTCCGGCAGCCTCGCGCGGTGGTGACGAATCCGCACCTCTTCGGGGTTCGCGTGCGCGCGGATTTTCAGTCTCCGGCGCCGTTAACGACTCGAGGAAAACACCGTGAACCGAAGCAGCAATGCTTCCTGCTGAACGCCACCCGGCCGTCCACGGCGCAACATCAAAGCCTGCGATTGGCTGAGCCGAGACCACCTGATCACGCCGACCAATGAGCTGCTTTGTTCCTACAGCTAATGGCGCCGCGCCCTGAAGGAACCGGAAATTGACGCAGGATCAGCTGGAGACAAAAACGTCACATTTATCTGAGTTTTAAAAAGTGGATTTAAAACACTTCCATGAGCTCATTTCCTGTTTTCACCTGTGGCACTATCTCACCTGCACATTTCTATCACGTGTTGGAGAAACTGTGGCCGCATCGTTTCCGGTGGACGTAGTAAAGCAGTTTAGCTTCCTGTTGTGAACACTGGAGGTGCGCAGAGCTGGCTCCGAGTGAGATGCTCACAGGAGGAAGCATATCCTGCCCGGTGACATTAATTTGGTGGCAGTTTCTACCAGAGTAAACATGTTTGCCTGGAAGCTCTCCTGGACCCGTGCGGGATGAAAATGAAGTGATCGGAGCTCCTGTGACTCCGAAGATTTAGCTTCGTGAAATGTTTCAAGTTTCTGTACAAAATAAATCAGCTGATCCTGAGGAGCTCAGCTCAGAGTTGACTCATAGACAAACACGTTTTATTAAAGCAAACATCAACCACTGTTTGACGTCAGACTTCAGGTAGCAGGTAAATGTGGAGCCAGTTACAGATCTGCAGGTGACGCTTTGTTGCTGCTTTGTCTTCATTGAACCCACAAACCTTCACAAATGCAAATACAGTAACAAAAAAACCTAATTTTAAACATTACTATAATGATGTTTTATGTTACATAAAATTGATTAGTGGATCACTTAACAAAAAGGCTATGAAAACTATTACTATTTGTAGTAATTACAAATTATTTGAATGTTTGTAATTCTTTGTATTACACCCCCTGGCATATGTTAATTTTGTTCTGATTGTATACATGTTCTGTATACTGTTTCTTAATAAAGTTTAATATTTTGAAAAACAAAACAAAACAAAAAATCCACACACCGTCAGACAGCCACGATCGTTCTGCATTTCCAGAGAAAATGAGTCATTGCGAGCTTTTACCGCGTGATTCTGGGTGACATGACGCGCACATGAATGCGGACTGCGGAGGTTTTCTCCTCAACCTGATTTTTTAAATCCCTGCATTAATATTTTCTTTGGACTTCGCTTTTAAACACACTAAAACAAATGTGTGCGAATTGAGGAAGTGACGAAGCACGTGACTGTGGCAGAGTGCACGTGTCAGCGTTCAGTGCTGTCCAGCAGAGGGCAGCAGAGGGCCACGCACAGGTTTGTTTTTTTTTGTTTGTTTGTTTTTTTTTTAGTAATATAAACATACAAACAAAATGCACCATATATTACAGATTCAGAGAATAAACATTTCTTACATATTAGCAACTTTCATATATAGTGAAAATAAAATATAAAGATGGGGTCACATAATTTAACAGATTATTAACTCACTAAATCAAAATCTTCTACAAAGGAAACAAAAAAGCAGCCTTTTTCTTTTTAACTAAGGTCAAAGATTTAACCAACAGGTTTAGGTCGTTTTTCCAGTGAGCCAGTGTTGGTTTAATCTTAAAAAAGCGACATTTATGTATAAAATACTTACACAAGATTAATAACACATTAACACCATAATTAGCTTTCTTTTCTTTCAAAAACACTCCAAACATTATCATATTTAAGGTAAATGGGGTAATTTGAATCCCACTGGATAAAGCCAGGTATGAAAATCCAACCAAAATATTTGTATAAAATTGCACCAAAAGAATAGATGGTCCAAATCCTCCTCTTCTGTTTCACAAAATACACAATTACCCGTTTCTATTTTGAATCTAGCACCAAGGAGTCTATTTGTCGGGTAAATTTTATTCAAGATTTTAAATTGGACTTCTTTCCCTTTAGGAGGGATAGGGAAGGCGATATAATCAGTTCTTATTCTTTCGATTTCTTCCCTTTGGAAATCTTTTAATATGTAATTACGTCTAAGTAAATTTGGAGAATAAAGACTCCTTAGTGAAGATCTAAGAAACTTATTATTGCATTTAACATCACAAAATCGAATACCATCTATATATAATTGCCTTAACTTGGGGGAGATGTCAGAATATATTATATCATTTACAACTATGTTTTTAAGTGACAATGGAATGGAATTTATAACCCGATTAAATTAACTTTTAGAACATTGGATATTAAACTTTTGGCAAAAATCTTGATGTCCTAGAACATGTCCTTCCTCGTCTACAAAATGGGCAATGCCCAAACACCTTTTGATAACCAATCTTGAATAAAAATAGATTTTCTGTTCATCAGTATATATCTATTGTTCCAAATTGGGCTATTATGTGGAGTGAAATTATGTTTAAACAACATTTTCCAATAAAGAAGGACCTGTTTATGGAATTCAGAGAGTTTAGCAGGTAGCTTAGTAATTTCAAAGTCACACTTTAGGAGAAAGTCGATACCCCCTAGTGTGTTAAAGACCTTACTTGGTATAAAAAAACCAAATGGAGTGTGGATTATTTAGGAAGGATTTTAACCATTTAAGTTTCAAAACACCATTCATTATGTCAAAATCAATTGCGTTTCCACCGCCTTCAATGTATGGTTTAACCAAATCATCTTTAGATATATAATGGCACTTATTCCTCCAAATAAAATTAAAATTCAAGCTATTAATTGTTTTAATAACTTTATTCGATATTGATAGAGAGTAAGCTGGATATATAAATCTAGATAAACTATCCATTTTGGTTAATAATATTCTTCCAAAAATTGTGATGTCTCTTTGTAACCACTTATTTAGGATTGTCTTACATTTGTCAACATTATCTAAAATATTTACTTTTTCTAAGACTTTGTGATCTTTTGAAATTGTGATGCCCAAATATTTTACCTCCTTCTTCACCTTTATATCGTACAGTAATTGTGAATTACACTCCTTTAATGGGCCACGCACAGGTGCCCAACAGCCTTTGTTTATGTCACTAGAACAAAAACACCCAAACAGGCACCAGGTGACAGCTGCCCTCACTGCTGTGTCTGCTTCGTCTACATTTTTATTAGGGAGGAAACATTTTCAAAATTGAAAATACGATCGAGGGCTGTTTTTCCAGCTGCTTCAGTCCAGCAGGTGGAGACAAAGCCAAAGACTGTAGTGCAAAGATGAGAGGAGAGCGTGAGGAGCTGCTGCAGCGTTCTGCTGTAAAACCAGCCCCTGACCTGCACACACCGCTGCTGATGACCCCCAGAATAAACTGTAAGGTTTGTGTGTGACTGTGAGGGTGGAGGGGGCGGTGGTGCAGAAGGAGTCCGATTGAGCTGACTGAGCGAGGACAGCTGTGGATGAAGAACGAAGAGCCGGGCGCTGTTCGCTGAGCTGAGGGAGGAACAGCTGCCGTGCTGCGAGGCCCACAGTGACAGCAAAGCCACAGTCGCTGCACAAAAAGCTTGTCAGGAAGGAGACGCACAAACAGCTGGTGCTGAACATGCAGCAGCTCTTCATCTGCTCCAGCAGGTCCAAACACATCTAGTACAACTCCAGCTTCACTACAAGCACGCCTCCCTTCATACTGCACGAAAAGCACATTCTAGCCGCAGGTCGTCGAGTCTGCAGGATCCCCCGCTGCACCGCGAGGCCTAGACTGTGATTTCAGAATCATCAGAATCGTGTTTATTGGCCAAGTATATGTGCAGACACATACAGGGAATTTGGTTCCGGTAGATGGAGGCTCTCAAGCACAGCAATGTAAATCACACACACACACACACACACACACACACACACACACACACACACACACACACACACACACACACGCTGTGTAAATCAACTATAAATAACGAATCTAAACTTATATACATAAAATACAGAAATGAATGAGGTGGAATGAATACTACAAAATGTACATAAGGTGCAGCTGCAGTCTGGCAGTGGGAGCAGTGTGACAGGTCAACTGTTAAGAAGGGACTTGTTGAGGTTGCAGCAGCTTCATTTACAGATTACTCAAACAAGCCGGCAGCTACGGTTATTTAACGATAATATTAAGAACTCTGCAGACGGTCGGAACAGCGAATGAGCTCGTGCGCACAAGCCTGAATACACCGGGAGGGTTGCATCAGGAAGACGTTTGACCCAGGATAACAACAACTGTCTCCATGGAAACTGTGCTACTGCTGGCCAAAGGGGGTGGGGCTGTGAGATGATTAATGTTATCAGTGTGCACGCCTCACAGGTTGGAGACAAGACAAGAACAGGAAGTGTGAAGTAAGTGGGACAGAGTGGAGATTGGAGCAGAAAAGAGTGGAAGGTCTTTGGTGTGTCTGTGGACAGAGGAAAGAGGAGAATGAGGAAGAACAATGAGCAGGCAGGTGTAACGGCAGGACAGGTGTGCAGCAAACACAGGAAAGGATGTGCAGCAGCTTTAAGGACACAGGTGGAAATGTACTCATGAATGATGAGAGGCTGCTGAGAAGGTGAAGGAGCATTTAAGGAGCTGATGAATGTAGAAAATAAAAGAGGAGGATTGATGGATGGAGGACAGTCAACGAATCAGGAAGTGCAGAGGATTAGGAAGGAGGAAGCGAGGGCAGCTGAGGATGAGCTACAGTAACTACAGAGAGTTAAACCACCATGAAGATATAGGAAAGAGCTGCTGTAGGTTAAGGGAGGTGACGGAGAAGTTCAGAGAAGGTGGATCAGAGAAAACAGATGATTGGCTGCTGAGAGAGGAGCTGTGGTCCTGCATGAGGGAGTCAGGAGGAGGACATGTATGAGGACAGAGACAGTGAATCTGCAAGGAGCAGAGGAAGTGAAGGTAGAGTTTAAATACCTCGGGTCAACCGTCCACAGCAGCAGAGGACAGAGATGTACAGTAAGTGCTCCATCCTCCCTCCTCACAGGGATTCAACTGCTGCTAACAGTCTGTGAACCAGGAGGAAGAGGAAGTGAGAGAAGTGAGACTCAAAGAGGAGACAGAGGGCGACATCATCCAGTAGGCGGGGCTCTCCTTCTGCACTGTGTTCAACCATTGTGTCAATAATAAGTGCTGCTGTGAAGAGAACAATTCTCAGACTGAATGTTGAACATCAGCTAGTTTCTCCTGTTGATTTAAACCTTGTTGTACAGATGGAACATTGGCTGTGGATTATTCTTGCTGCTCTTTTCTTTGGTGAGATACAAACATCAACATGTTTCCTCTGCTTAAATAAATGTGTGAGTCTGATTAATGGTGAGTTTTTAATCATGTTTATTGATCCATCTCTTCCTCTGCATGTTCTGTTCTTCCTCAGAGTGTAAAGGAGAAGACAAAGTGATCCAGGAACAAGGAGATGTCATTGCTGCTGAAGGAGACACAGTTACACTTGGATGTAGATATGAAACAACAAGAACAGGCCCCACTTTGTTCTGGTATAAACAAGAAGTGAACAGTTACCCGAAGTATATGCTGAAATCTTTCTCAGAAACAACAGAAAAATCTGAAGAGTTCAACGACGACAGATTTGATGCTGAACTCAACAAGACATCAGTTTCTCTGAAGATCCAGAAGCTTCAGCTGTCTGACTCTGCTGTGTACTACTGTGCTCTGCAGCCCACAGTGACAGGAAACAGCAAAACTCTGTACAAAAACCTTTGGAGCAAAGACAACAGAATACTCCACAACATCCACTAGAGGGAGCCACACACTGTTAAACCTCTGATTCTTGTGTCATTGGACTGATGACAAAGACAGAGAAATGAAGCAGTAAAGATCAGAGACAGAGCTGCTGTGGAAGGAAACTTTATTTATAAAGATCCTTTCACATCGACACGTCAAACAGCTCGTACAGTTTGTTAGTGTCAGCTCTAAAGACGGAAACGTTTAAAAAGATGTGAACTGAAAACAAAGCATGCTTGAAACACAAACTTCAACATCTGAGTTCAATCCAAAAATCACTGAGGACACAAACCAAACATCTTCCACTAAACGTTCAGGTGCAAACAGAGTGATGGAGGTAAAGAAGAAAACCTCGATGCAGGCGGAAGATCAGAGCTGCATCTTTGTCATATTTACACTGTTGCCTCTGATTCTACTGAAGCAGAGACGTCATCGAACATGTTTTCTTCCAGAGTCTCAAAGAAATCCTACAAAACAGCTTTTATAGAAAACAGAGTGTTTAAAGCAGCTGCGAGGTTATCATCTATAATCTGTCTGAGCCTGCAGGTCCCCGATCGCCGTGGCGATGGTGGAGAGCCACGAGGCGGCGCTTCAGTCCCTGCTGACTGTGCTCAGTCACAGTCAGGGGGGTGCGCCCTCTCCTTTTTCAAATATCACTGAAATATCGAAGGTCACCTCAGCCCGTTTCATTTTCTCATGAAAGTTGGTTTCCTTGGAGACCACCTGGGCAACGTGGCGCGCGCCGCTGCCCGAGGAGGCGGGAGCAGCTCAGCCGCCTCTCATCACTCCAATAAAACTGCAGTTATGTATTCAGTGACACGTTATTTAGCTTTCACTGTGCGGTCTATTTTCATTTTTACTTCAGTCAACTAAAATTTTAGCTCAGCTCGAGTTTCTGCAGTTGAGGAAATGTTAGAACAGCCCTGCATGAACCCTTCAGGTCACCAACTGTCACACTCGTCAAACCCAGTAACATGAATTAAAGCCACGAGTGTTTCAACATGTCTGTGAAGGTTCTCGGTCATCCAGGTCATCCTAGTCTAAGAAAAGCGCCGGGACGCCTTTAAGACGTTTCATCCGAGAAGCCCAGTGGGAGTTTCCCCCCAAGAGGGACAATGACCCCCTGATGATAGTCCACCTAATCACATGGGCCATGGCGTGAAAGCGGGTGTGGGTCCCAATCAGCCAGGGTTTCAGGTGAGCTCACTGTGAAACCTGGCCCACCTTATCATGTGACTTCCTGAGGTCAGATGGCCCAGGATGTGAGTGGGCGTTAAGGCGTCTGGGGAGGGATCTCCAAACTGGATTATAGATGGCAGACAGTTGGTGTGGTAAGCCCCGCCCTCTGTCCTCTCTGTCCAAAATGTGAACATTGGCATCCTCAGAGAGTGACCTTTGACCTTTAGCTGCAGGTATACTGATGAGTCTTGTCCTGTAGGGCTTAAATCTGTGACTCTCCACCAGTTGCTCTTAGAACTGAAGAAGCTTCTCGGATTAAACGTCTTCAAGGCAACTTAAAGACGTCCAAAGGTTTCCTTTCAAAGCTCCTCAGATCAACGTTTAAACAGCTGCGTGTCGAACATCAGTGAAACGTCAGCACAGCTGCACAGTCGCCTCTCAGAAGAACAGCTTCACTTCCATCTCTTCATCATATCACAACTCACCACCTCTCATTCATACTAACAGAGTTCCAAGACTCGACGTGATGTTGTCTAGAAGAAGAAAAGTAAATTAATACATGAGCACGCCTCCCCCAAGTCAAACTGATCATGTGACCAACCTCACCGAGCGACTCCAACAAACTGAGTCTAAAAAGTGTGTTTGAACCTGAATGCATTCTTGGACTACGACTTCTCCCCCGTGTGAGTCTTCATGTGGCGTAACATGTGATTGCTCCGTGCGAACGTTTTCCCGCATGTTTTACAGGAATACGGCTTCTCGCCTGTGTGGATCCTCATGTGGACGTACAGATTCCCGCTCTGACTGAAGGTCTTTCCACACGTCAGGCAGGAGTACGACTTCTCCTTAGTGTGGATTATCATGTGGCGCAGCATGGTGCTCTTTTGAGTAAAGCTTCTCTGACATATTTTACAGGAATGCGGTTTCTCTCCTGTGTGGATTTTGCGATGCTCTTTGACTTGGCATTTTTTCTTGAAGGCTCTTCCACAAACATCACACTTTAAAGTCTTTTTACCTGCGTCAGAGTTCTTCTGACGCGCTAACATGCGAGCGTGTGCAGGATTGTTACAGTGAATTCGATATATAATTCTAGTCGGTCCCGAGTCTGCACTCCTGCCTCCTTCCTGATCCTGGCTCTCAGCTCCAGCAGAGCTGTGACAGAGGAGCTGCTCCTCGTCTCCTCCTGGTTCACTGTGCTCTCCTTCCTCAGCAGCAGTCACCATGAAGGTGTCCGTCTCCTCCTTCAGTCCCAGCTGCTCTCCCTGCTGACTGCTGCACAGTTCCTCCTGTTCCTCTTTAATCTGTGGAGCTTCTGGTTCCTCCTGCTCCACACTGGAGCTCCTCTCCTGGTTCCAGAGCTGCTGCTCAGGGAGAACCTCCTCCTCCTCCTCCTCCTCCTCCTCCTTACAGACATGTTCCTGTGGGACGTCTGGTGGACAGAAACATAAATATGGCTCCTTTTAATCAGTAACGAGGCTCTGCAGTAAAAGCTAACTGGACTGGTTCCTGTGTCCTCTACCCGACACGCCGTCAAACAGCAGTTAGCTGCTGTGACAGCGGCCACATGCTGCTCACAGCGGAGGTTATAACTGTGTCAAACAGGGACTCCGTGATTTAAAGGCAGGTTTTAGATGAAGACACAGACTCACCTGCTGTGTGCAGCTTGATTTGGGGTTTCCAGGTGATATCCAGCAGTCTGCGCTGACGGTCGATCTCTTCCTCGTACTGGACGATCGTTTTTTCAAACTCCAAGAATATTTGTTCAGCAGCAGCAGTTAGTCGCTCGTTGATGAACTCTCTCAGATACTGAACTGAAGGCATCGTTGCTGCCGCAGCTCACACAACAGCACACTCTCTGCTCACAAAACGGGGCTTCCGCCTCTTCTTTGTATACTTCCGCCTGGTGTCACACAGTCAAGTTCCGGCAGAAGAGCGCACTGAGCTTTGTTCCGCCTCTGCAGCTCCTTGCGCCTGCAGATTTGAGATCGGACGTGTTCTTCATGAGCAAAATACAGAAATACACACGAACAGAGTCATGAAACAATTCTAAAACAAAACAGAAAGTAAAAAACATTATTATGTAATAACATAAATGAAAAACATGTTAACAGTTGAGCAAACCTGACACACACATGGTCTTGATGGAGTCCATCTGTTACGATTATTAATCAAACCTAAGATCAACCATGAAATCTATGAAACGTGTTTGAGGCCCTGAAGGTCTCCAACATTCAGTTTTTCTCATTAAGTTATTGATGAAGAAATGTTTGTAATTTGAGCTCATGAAATGCTTTTCTTAAATGTAGACTTAGTATAAACGTTTGAATGTAACCTTATAAACAGTCTGCCAACTCTGAACCTGATCTGTGCCAACCTCAAACTGTTCAGTCAACTTAATCTGATTTATAGCATCAAATCACAACAGCTGTTTTTAGGCACTTTATATTGTAAAGTCAAGACAATAATACAGAGAAAACTCAACAATCAGATGACCCACTGTGGGAAAGCACTTTGGTGACAGTGGGTTTGATGTGAGAGGAGGAAGACAGGACAAAAGAAGCGAAGAAGAAACACTCAGTGCATCATGGGAATGCCGAGGAGAATATATTATATTAGTACATTATGTGGTCTGAGTTTGTGTGAGAGTGATCCCAGTGATGAGGGTTACTCAGGCCCGGACTGGTGGTTGGTTCCAGATTTGGAACGTCCAAACCTCGCTTAACAGATAATCACACTTATGGACACGTTCTCTCCATATCAGACTGCCTTATCAACGGAGGGAAATGTACTAGACTGTGTGTGAAGCAGGCAGCGTTGGACCCAAACACAGACGCGTCGGGCAGGCAAAAAGTAAACTCAAAAGCAGCTTTACTGCTGAACACAAGGATTACAACATTAACTAATGTGGGACTACAAAACAAACCAGGCAGATTGCAGGACACACGGAGGACGGAGACGCTGACATGAATACACAGAAGGACAACGAGGACGTGAGAAGACACGAGGAACAGCTGACGTGAATTATTAACATGACGCCACAGGAGAAACATGGGCTGCGTCCCAATTCAGGGTCTGCACGCTTGAAGTACGCGCACTACGCGTACTACGTACGGTGCGTACTATGAGTACGAGAAGTGCGGAAGTGAGAGGCGTGTGAAATGGGACGGTCTAGCCTGCGTCGCGCTGTTCCGGTTGCCTAGCAACCATGATACTAACCGCGAGAAACGTTACAGCTTTGTGTGACAGAAACGAAGGAGAAAAATGTTTTGTTGGTCATTCATTTTTGTCATGACATCACTTTGATTAGCTGAGTATCTGAGGCTGAGGCCACAGGACTGTAAATATGTGTGTGTGTGTGTGTGTGTGTGTGTGTGTGTGTGTGTGTGTGTGTGTGTGTGTGTGTGTGTGTATTACAGCAGTGAGCTTGAACTTGAAAGATTCAAGTTGCAGTTATTTATATTTCCTATCACCTTAAATCTTCACTCAAAAGTGTATGTACATATGTCTATATGTGCGCATGCGCCAACCAGCGTGCAGCCTGTTACAGTCGCTCCTGCTTTTCTCTTAGTTTAGCTCTTTTTTCTTACGTATTCTTTTTTTTTCTGACTTGTATTTTCCTCCGTTTTCTATCTCTTACTCAATCATGTGGATTGAGAGAGTTTTTGTTCTTCTGGTGGCCGTGGAACTGTTACTTTTATCATGGAACGGGACCGCGGCACATCTCCTACACGCACGGACTGTTTACTCCAGAGATCAGCTGATCGCCCTGATGCCGGCCGGCTCGCTGGCCAGGCCCGCAGAAGTGCCCGCAGAAGTGCCCGCAGAAGTACCAGCTGAAATTTGGAGGAAAACACATCGGGGATGCAGAGGTCAAGGACAGAAGAGAAGAAAAAAGGTGACGGTGAGACAGCGGAGGCTCGAAGCGAGGAGGAGGTTTAAACCGTGTCTGCCGTCTATCGTGATGGGAAATGTGCGATCGTTGGCAAGTAAAATCGACGAGCTCTCAGCACTGGTACGGAGTCAGAGGGAATACCGAGAGTGTAGCCTGATGTGTTTCACCGAATCATGGCTGCACCAGGTCATTCCCGATGAGAATGCTTCCGTGGAAGGCTTCCACACTGTTCGGGCGGACAGGGACAGCATCGCTAGCGGTAAGCGTAAAGGAGGTGGGCTTGCTGTTTTAGTTAACAACCGGTGGTGTAACCCTGCCAACATAACAATAAAAGAAAGGAGTTGTTGCCCGGACACTGAACTGTGTGCTGTTGGACTCAGGCCGTATTATTTACCCAGGGAATTCTCTCACGTCATCTTGGTGGCTGTTTATGTTCCTCCCTCTGCTAACCCCACAGCTGCATGTGACACTATCCACTCTGCCATAGCTCGGCTACAGACTCAGCACCCGAGTGCCTTTATTGTGATCTCGGGTGACTTCAACCATGTATCACTGGACAATACACTACCAACATTCAAACAATATGTGGACTGTCCCACCAGGGGAGAGAAAACTTTAGACTTACTGTATGCTAACGTCAAGGATGCATACAGCTCCTCCTCCCTCCCCCCACTTGGTAGGTCAGATCATAACCTGATTCACCTCACCCCCCGCTATGTGCCAATTGTGAGGAGGGAACCTGTGACCACCAGGACTGTTAGGAGGTGGTCAGAGGAGGCAATAGCGGAACTACAGGGCTGTTTCGAGGTGACCGACTGGGAAACACTCTGTGAGCCTCACGCCGAGGACATCAATGGGCTTACTGAGTGTATCACAGACTACATAACTTTCTGCACCGACTCCATTGTTCCAGCTCAGACTGTTCATTGTTACCCAAATAACAAGCCGTGGGTGACTAAGGACATCAAAGCCCTCCTCAACAACAAGAAGAGGGCTTTCAGAGGGGGCAACAAAGAGGAGGTGAGGAAGGTCCAGGTGTTACTAAAGGACAAGATCAGAGAGGCTAAGGACAATTACAGGAGGAAGCTGGAGTGGAAACTCCAGCAGAACAGCATGAGAGAGGTGTGGAGGGGCATGAAGACCATCACTGGATTCAGGCCAACCAACAGCAGGGGAGCTGAGGGAGGTGAGAATAGAGCCGACGAGTTGAATCTGTTTTTCAATAGATTCGACACCACAGTGTCTGCTCCCACCCCCACAACCTCACCTGCAGTCAGCCTGGAATCCAGAGCCACACCACTGTGCCAGCCTCTCTCTTCACATGTTGCCTCCTGTGAGATTCCTGACACCCCTCCCCCACCCATCACCTTCACTCAATACCAGGTTGAGATGCAAATGAGGAGACTTCACTCAGGCAAGTCTGCTGGACCAGACGGAGTGAGTCCCCTCGTCCTCAAGACCTGTGCCCCCCAGCTGTGTGGAGTCTTTCATAAACTGTTTATGCTGAGTCTGAGTCTGCAGAGGGTCCCGGTGATGTGGAAGACATCATGCCTCGTCCCTGTACCAAAGACGCCTCGTCCCAGTGGCCCCCAGGATTACAGGCCCGTGGCACTGACCTCCCACATCATGAAGACCCTGGAAAGGCTCATCCTGGACCAGCTGCGACCCATAGTAAGACCACATCTGGATCCCCTTCAGTTCGCTTATCAGCCTCGTCTCGGAACAGAGGACGCCATCATCTACCTGCTCAATCGTGTCTACACCCATCTGGACCAGCCGGCGAGCACTGTGAGGGTCATGTTTTTTGACTTTTCCAGTGCTTTCAACACCATCAGGCCGACCCTCCTGGGTGATAAGTTAGCAGCGATGCAGGTGGATGCTTCTCTGGTGTCCTGGATTGTTGATTACCTGACAGGAAGACCACAATATGTACGTCTCCCACAGTGTGTGTCTGACAAGGTGATTAGCAACACAGGGGCACCACAGGGGACTGTCCTCTCCCCCTTCCTCTTCACCCTCTACACCACAGACTTCAGCCACTGCACAGAGACCTGCCATCTTCAGAAGTTTTCTGATGACTCTGCGGTGGTTGGATGCATCAGCAGGGATGATGAGACAGAGTACCGGGCTGTGGTCGACTCCTTTGTCACGTGGTGTGAGCAGAATCATCTGCAGCTCAACGTGGCAAAGACCAAGGAACTGATCGTGGACTTCAGGAAGACCAGGAAACACTTGACCCCTGTTTCAATCCAGGGGGTCAGTGTTGACATTGTGGAGGACTATAAATACCTTGGAGTACACATTGACAATAAACTGGACTGGGCTAAAAACACCACAGCACTTTACAGGAAGGGCCAGAGTCGTCTCTATTTTTTGAGGCGACTGAGGTCCTTCAACATCTGCCAGAAAATGCTGAGGATTTTCTATGAGTCTGTGGTGGCCAGTGCGATCCTCTATGCTGTTGCATGCTGGGGGAGCAGGCTGAGGGTCGCAGATGCCAACAGACTTAATAAACTAATCCGTAAGGCCAGCAATGTTGTGGGGATGGAGCTGGACTCCCTCAAGGTGGTGTCGGAGAGGCGGATGCTGTCCAAGATAAAGACAATGTTGGATAACACCTCCCACCCACTCCATGACATGTTGGTCAGTCACAGGAGCTCGTTCAGTGAGAGACTGAGATTACCCATGATGCACCACTGAACGACACAGGAAATCATTCCTGCCTGTGGCCATCTCCCTGCACAACGCATCCACTTAACACACTGGTTACTGCTACAACTACACATGTTTCTTTTCCAAATATTTATTTATAAGTGACTTATGTATGTATGCATGTATATATATGTATATATTGTACTATTCTTAGTTAGCGTATTGTCTGTCTTGTCTTAATGTTGGTTTAAAATGGAGCACTGTAACAAAAAATAATTTCCCCCAGGGATCAATAAAGTATTCTGATTCTGATTCTGATTCTGATTATACATAAGACACAAATATTGT